GACCTCCTCCAGAGGCTCGTAGATGGGAACGAAGCGGTGGTTGGGGTGAACAAACTTGGAGTTCACGATGCAGTCAGCGCAGTAGTCCCAGTCGGGGCAATCGAGGCACTTGTGGCGGACGCCAGCAATGTACTTGTCGCAGCCATCGCAAATAGCATTGTGGCTCTGGTTGCGGCCAGGAGCCAACTTGATCTGGATATGGCTGGGGACGTGAGCACCCTCAACGGCGGGGACGAAGGAGTGCTTGGGGTTGTGACCATGGGAGTCCTTCTCGAAGCATGCGTGGCACAAGTCGAAATCCTCGCAAGCTGCGCAGTGGAGGAAGCTGGACTCTGGAAGTTCCGTCACGCAGCAGTTGCAGGTACGCATGCTGTAGAGCGCAGTGTTGAAGACTGGGCGAAGGAGCTCACTGATGTTGGCGGGCACCCTGGGAGGCTCGGGAATTGATTCCTCGACCTTGGCCTTGGGCTTGGGTGCAATTGTCTCGGTAGTGCTGTTGATGATCTGGCCGTTCTTGACAATCCTCTTGATGAGCCAGTGGTCAGCGCCGTAGCATGTGATACCCTGGTCAACGCAGTTTTGGCAAAGATCGAAATCACCGTCATCGCATGTGGAGCAGTGGTAGTGGGCTTCGGGAACTGTTTGGTCGCAGCTGTTGCAGCACACAGCGAAGTTCGTGTTGGGGTGCATCAGTGCGGGGCAGCGACCCCATGAAGCTCGTGACGAAGTCTCCGTGGCGGCAGCATTAGCGAACCACTGGTCTCGAGCCGTAATACCCTCAGAGACGGGGATATCTGCAGAAGCGGCGGACACTTCTTCGTCGTTAATCTTAGCGTGTCGTCTCAACAGGGAAGCGAGGATGGAGGCCTCGAAGTCAAGACCGGTGTCGCTAGTTGGCAATTCCTTCTTGGCCTCGTTGTCGATGACGCTAGATTGCCTCAGATCAACGAGGGGTTGCGTCGCGGCGTCTTCCGGCTTTAGCTCCTCCACCTCCTTCACAGCAAGAGGAGTGCTGGACTCCGGCACATCCTCCACTGACACCGGCCTGGGGGACATCTTCTCCTCGGACAACTTGGTGACACGAAGCTTGAGTTTTTGCTTGGCCTTGGCAGCTCGGTAAAGCTGCTTGTAGACAGAAACGTTTTGCTTATCGAGTGTGATGTACGAACCAGCCGAGTCGGAATACCTCTCGAGAGTGACGTTGGCATCAGTGGTAACGCCCAAAAGAGCTCTCACCTACAAGTGCCGAATTAGCTTCTACAATTCAACCACAGGGTCCCAAACGCCTCTGGTGTATCGCCGTCTCACTGAACAACGATGCAATGTTGTTGTGCCGCGGCAATCTGACCATGGGCAAAAAGAGGGCAATGACGTACCTTATCTTCAAGAGTGCTAGGTCCCATGTCGCGCAGCGGGAGTTTGTGGCGGCGAGTCATGCCGTCGAAGTTGATCTTCAGGGTGACCTGAGTGTCTGGCGTTGTTGCTGATGAGGACGCCATTTTGAAGGATGGAAAGTAGACTCCGAGTATGGATGAAAAGGACACTCGCGGTCGGCCGGGCGGGGAGGGGATGACGGCTCTGGCAGATGTTTCACTGATAGGCGGCCAAGCAGCACGGTGCACGAGGCTCGCTCGGTCGGGGTAGAAGGTGCGTCTGCCTTCTGAGGTCGGGGTTTCAACAGATACCAGACGGATACACGGTATCTGTTGATTGTTGTAGATAGTTGCTTGCGAGGGCGGAGTTGGTGAGAGGGAGGAAAAAGAAAAACGGACAAAGCAAGCTGTCCGGGTAGATGATGAAAGATGGTTGAGAGGGTGAAGGGACGGGGAGTGGGAAAGATAAGTGAGTTGGAGGATGATGGGGGTCGGCGGTCGGTAGCCGGGGTGGAGTAAGAAGGTGAGCAGACGAGGAAGGAGAGACCGGAGGCAGAGGGATCAGAGTGACAAAGATGGGACACTAGAAACTGGAGTGGGCGGGTGGAGGTGGGTGGAGGTGGAGACGGGCTAGACGGATGATGCGTGTGCGTCTCTCTACGTCTCTGCGTCTCGTTCTCTCTATGGTGGAAGGTCTTGACCCTCGGGAGCTGTGTGTGTGTGTGTGAGACGGGACTTGTTCAAGTGCGGCAGACAAACAGCTTTGCTCTCTCCGCAGGTGACTTTGGGGGTCGGAATGGGACTGGGGAGGAATAGTACCAGGGGGACCAGGAGCCACTTATGTACCAAGAGCCAAACGAAAGACGAAGAGGCCGAAACTGTGGTGGCCCGAAGAGGGAACTGAGGTGGTGGGAAAGTGAAGGATGGATGGCGAGGGATAGGAAAGGAAGGCGGGCAAGCCGCAAGTTGCAAGGCAGGAAAGGCGGTAATAGCGTCAGTCGTCACTCTCGCAACTGCCTTGAGATTCACACGGTTCACTACTTGCCCCAAGGCCAGGGGAGTATGTACCTATGTAGGTAGACTCTCACGCTCTCACAGCACTCTGTCAGTCACCCGTGGATAGGTAGCATGGCATATCTGATGTCGGTGACGGGGATCCGTCAATGGGGTGGACCTGTTGAAGGGCGGAGGGGTCATGACATTGCTGGCCTTCCCCAGGCAAGCTTGGTGCCTTTTCACACCTCAAAAGGTACTTGGCCAATGTATCTTGGAAATAAAGAGGGGCAAGGAAGCTTTAGCAGGATATGGTTGGCTAGTTGGTAGTACCACGGAAAAGGGACGTACTTTTCTGCAGCTGCTTCCGCGATGTTAGGCGAGAGCGAATGGTGCGAACTTGAAAGGTGCTAACTGCCTATTCCGCTCCCTACCTCGCCTTATCGAACCTTGCCTCTTGCCTCTTGCCTGCCTCAAGAACCAACCTCAGGTACGTGGGCGAGGGAAGGCACCCACCACTTAAAGACTGAGACGGCTGGAAGTATACGCTTGCAGAGATAGCCTTTGCCGTGGGAAAGCCGAGACACCGCTAACCAAGACCATGTCAAAGTGTCAAATTCACGTAGTGGCATTACATGTTCCCGACTCCCCAAGGTTCAAACTCCAAAGTCGACAGCCCCCCACCGCTCTGCTTAGCAAGCCTGGCCATTTGTCGCCATCTATGTTCCATGGGTTGCTATTCGGGAACCACAACTGCTCACATGTCACTGCAGGCAGATACACCAAGGCCAGGCAAACCAGTCATTTAGCCAAGCCAGGCAGCCTACGACACCTCAGCTCGCCTCTATGGCTTCACATTGGATTCGTTTACACCATCACAGCGGGCAATAGGCGGCAAAAAAAAAAAAAAAAAAAAAAAAAAAAAAAAAAAGAGAGAATAAGTCATGGCCATGGAATAAGTTGGAAAGAGGCGGTCAACAGCCACCACCACGAGATAGCGACTCGACAGCTTACAATGCCATCAATGGAAGCTGCTCCAAGCTTCTTCGCCTCAATCCATTCATTGTCCACAACCATGGCCACGGCCACGTTCACTCCTCGCAGCCTAGACTCCATCTTCATCTCTAGTGCCGACCAAGATGTTCATTCCTTGACTGGATGAACCGGCCGAGTCATCAGCTTCGCCTTCGCCTATGTTCTTTCGCCCTTTCGCTCTTTCAGGATAGTTGTCGAGAGACCAACGAGGTCTCGGCACTACTCATCCATCCGCCTGTCGGTTCCCTTTCTAATCTTTGCCTCATGCTATTTCCCACCCTCCGCCCCCAAGATTCGCACCCACACGCCCCCCAGCAATGACTCTCTCCTTTAACCATTGCGAGCTACCCTGGGCAAAGACGCAATAACCACTGCCCATTGGCACATGACGGGGGACTGCCCTGCAAACACCAGACTCGAAATGAGGCGAACTGGAGCCTCGCCGCGAATTGTTCCTATGTTTACGCACTTCAACTATGCAAAACGTGGGCAATAAGCACTCATAGGGGTTGGCTTGGTCATCGACCTTTCTTGGGCTCCTTAATCTTCTCACAAATCCTTCTGCTTGAACTCGCATCTGGCGTTCAGACGTGCCATGTCACCATGGTGGCCTGCCCTCTCGACTACCGACAACTGGTCGATCTAGGTCTTCATGCAACGAATCGCGATGCCGGAGCACCAGCTTGCTGCATAGTTGCATAGCCGGTCAGTCGGTCAGTCGGTCAGTCGGTCATCCTCCACTACGATTCAGTGATAAGACAAGGAATACGACCTCCGACCTGTCCGTTTTCCAGACCCTGTGCCCAGGAGTGTCCAGTGCTACGTTTGCCCAGAAGGCCGCCGCGCAAGAGAAAGCAAAAACCTCGAGACATTCACTGCAGTTGATGCGTTATTCAACGCGTGGTAAACCCCAACCTCATGCAGCTACCGCATCCGATCTTAGCGAGCCCGGCAGCGTGGTCGCTCGAGATCGGAATGGGGAGGAGGGGCGGGTCGACCAACGACCACGGGAGACTGTCTGTTCTCTGTCACCTGAGCCTCGATTCCTTACTGGAAGCAGCAGTCACTGCCGCAAGTCACGCAGCACGCAATCCTCCGGTTTCCAGTCTCCCGGGGACTTGTCATCGAATGGAGCTGAAGTCAGACAAGACAAAGAGCTGAGGTCAAATAGGAAAAATCCGTCGGCGCTTGACTCGTTCACGTGGAGATCCTTTCATCTGTCTTGGACCAAGACAGAGCCTCCTCTAATACGAACTCTCTATGAAGCAGATCAAACTGGCACCCATCTCTCGACGTTGAGGTACATTGATCCGGCCTTAGTCAGCCTGTTACTAGTCCTTCTTCACTGAGACCTTCTTTTCAGAAGCTCTTCCCCTTCACTTTCCGTCGAGGAGGCCTTTATGCGTGTCTCGGGCCATCAAGATCGGCGGATGCCAACCTCGCATCAAACCTTCTCTGACAAGTGTCTGTGGGATGAATTAAGGACGGATGCTTCATGATGCTTCATGGCTAGTTTACACTGAAAGGAATAGCCACGGAGACGCCCACGGGGGCGAAGTTCAAAATGACAGCTCATCGTCCAGACGGAAATCTGCAGCAATGGCGCCGGCGGACCAACAACAGCGCTCTGACAAAGGCGGGGGGGGCGGGGAAGCTCTCGGTGAGCAAAGCAAGCAGGCAATGAGCCAGCAAATATCTCACGGGCTTATTCTGGCTGGTTGGCTGGCTGGTCCTTTGGTCCAGATCGACAGATGGCGGGAATACCTAGCGAATAGTCGAGAAGTCATCCTTCCAGGTCCGAGAGCGCTGCTTGCTTGCCTGCGCCGTCCTCAACAGGCAAAGATGATACAGTTATCGCAACGCTACGCTGCATGTCACCATTCTAGTGTCCAGCCACCCAGGCTGCTAGTCATGCGAACTCAACCCCCGCCTTTTCCCAAGGTTCTCATCAAAGTTAAGCAAACCACCGCTGCCGAGGCCGCCAAGAAAAAGGATGTTTTTTGTCACTCGCATTGCAATACTTTGATTTCATCTCGCGAGCTCGACCTTCAAAGTGTAAAGCAGGACGTGGGAAAGTAAAGTGGCCGGCTCAGGGGTCTGTCCCAAGAAGGGCAGTCTGGACAAGACAATTCGCTCCGGACCCGAAGCTCCATTGCGCCCGGATCGAAGCCGACCACCCGATCTCTCTACTTCGAGGCTCGACCACTTCACACACGTTTGCAGGAAGACGGTTACTTTTGTTTTTCCATCTCATCACTCCTCCCCGCCTCCTGAACCGTCCAATGTCTGTTCAAGGCACCAAAGCTACGTCAGGCGAAAAAATGCAATAAGCAGACTGAAAATTCAACACCCGCACGAGCAACAGTCTTTAAGCTTCCATACTCGTCCCATCAATTCAACCATGGCGCCGCCTTTCATCGACTCATCGAGGATTTTGAAAGTCTAGTGTGGAACATGCTCCCCATCTACCCCTGAAGGAAGGTCGAGGTAAGCTCAAAAGCTCGATAGGCCTCTCGTCTCCGAGGCTTTCCTCCCAACCGGCGGTCCAGAGGCGAAGCAAACAAAGGAAGGGCCCAGAACTCGACAATACGTCATGTTTCCCCCTCCCCCTCCGCCTCTAAGATCTCACCACCTTCAACCACCCAAAGAGACCAGAAACCATCCGGTTCTCGACTGGCTTGTTTCATAATTGCAGGGCTTGGCGAGGGGGCCGCAGCAATTCGCTACTATGTAGACAAGACAGGAGAACAAGACTGAGGCAGCGCGAACGCGTGTCTTCATGTCGCGCCTGCTCTACCTATTACCTGCTTGCTGACCACGATCCTTTCGCTGCCTAGTAGGTACCCATCTTTCGACACCAAAATCGACCAGGAAAGAAAAGCAAGAAAGGCCTTGAGTTTTAGACATTGGACCTTCTCCCGCCTGGTTGGGTTTCCCCGCCGCACAGGTTTTGCAAAAACGACGGGACGACAAATCATCCCCCGCTCAAAGTAGCACTGGCCTCATAGGCTCAGGTTGAACTGCTTCTGATAGGGGGTTTACGTGTACACACGTCTCGTATCTTGCATGCATATCCTACCTTGCCTTGCCTACATGCCTAATGGCCCAGAAATGTCCCCGCGGCTTCCACGTCGTAAATTACCAAGGCCGACGTTTTGCCTGGTTTTCCTCGCTGTCAACATTACCATGTCGTGTCTGTACGAGTGAAGAAACTATTGAAGCGGTAGGACAAGCGATCGTGGGTCGGTAGATGGCTGGCACCATCGTATCTGCAGTCATCGCGCGATTGATTTCGAGGTGTCAAAGCTCTCCCCCTGTGATGCCGAAGCTATTGATGATAATGATAATGATGAAGACTAGACCTCTGGACTTCTGCACGCGCCGTCTGTGGGTTGCTTTACTTAGACGTAAGCCGAGAAAGTGTGAGAGAGACAACAAAAGCTGCTCAGCCACGCCCAAGATGGCCAGGAAATGATGCTGGGCATTTAGATATCTGGTAACTTCGGGCAAGCTACCAGCTGCATGATCTCAGTCGTGGTGATGTAGCTTCCCGCTCTCATTTCTGCGACTCTCAACGCTCAGGAATGTGATGATCGACGTTTCCGGGCATGTTATTCACAAACTTTGCTTCCCCATTGCCCAAGGTAGGTAGGTATCTGAGACCGACCTAGGGCATAAAGGGGCCATCAGTTCTTTCTCGGCGAGACTTTTCGGCAAAATGCTCATACGGCTTGGTCAAGCAGTGAACAATTCCCGTCATTCCGCTTTCGTTATCACCAGTTAAAGAACCTATGGCGTCACAGCCCATGCCAAGCTATATCAAGAGTCGGTCAATATGTAGTAGAAAAACATTAACTGATCGAGTTTCAAAATGTTACTTCTACTGTCCTGATAGACTCCACAGTCTACTACCGAGAAGAGGCTCATGATTAAATCAGAGCCGTGATCTGATTACGGACAGTATACCAACACCATCGTTGAGGATCAGGATCCAATCACGAAGATTTGATGCAGTAGCTTTAAACTCCCTAACCCCCACTCCATTCCACTCCCGTCCCTCCGTCCTTGCCATCTTCTTTTCCCTTATAATACTCAATAGCACCTCCATTCCTCACTCCGCACTCCGAGCCCTTTACCATAAGTCTTTCTCCCTCCCTTCTCTCCCTCCCCCCTCGTCTCCTGATAAAGTCCATGAGAGTGCGGCCCGAGCCAACCGATCCTTTCTTGTGCGCACGTCTTCAAGTATAAATTCAAAAAAATCTGTCAAAACTTTTCCACCGCAGAATACTCTTTCAATACATACAAGAGGCTAGACCATGGGAGAAAAAAAGAATGGCAAATACAGTTGAACTGCCTAGACAACAAACAGTTAAAAAAAATGCAAAATAAAATCCATGATTGAGGTCGGGGAAGAAAAAGAGATCTAGGCTTTCGTTGGATCATAATCGAGAAGGAAAACAGTAAACAGACCAAACGTTCAAGAATCATGAAATCATATCAAAAGGGGGCTGACAGTCTTGTACACCGATCCCGCCCGTGTTAAGTTGTAGGGAGTGTGGAGGATCATCTAGGTAAAGAGAAAGGCGAATAGAAGTAAATGTATAGACGCTCAACGAACAAAGCGAACAGCCTCCCCAATACTCATCCGCCTGTAAATTCAACAACAGCAGACTCAGGAATTCAACAACAAACTCAAAAACGCCAGAAACGCATAGGGACGACGTGAAGTGGTCAGATAAAGGTAGGCTGGAAAAGATGGTGGAAAATGGTAGAGACAGATTGTGAGGAACTTCTTGAATTCGAGAACAAGGCGAGGTTGTAGGAACCAGAGAGGGACTCTCTCTTTCTGTCGACCGCTTCTCGCTCGCCCTCCGCCGATTCCGTCGGAATCCTTCCCCCTTTTTCCAAAACATGCTTGTAAGCATACGTCGGAACAGGAAAAGTCAAGTAAAACCTCAAAGGCCAGCGACAGCACCTCGCAACCCCATCCTCCAACAGTGTACCAATTCAACCAGATCAAGAGCGCTCATTCCTATCAATACTATAATCATAGAGTTCAAACACCGCAAAGTTTTTTGTGGATTTCCTCCTGCCTTTTGCCCCCGTCCGGCTGTCCGACGAGAAGAGGGTATAGCGACGGCTAGAGAGCCGACAATGACAATTACAAGGATTAGAAGGAAGGCGATAGGAGGCGTGGAAAAACCTAGAGAGGTGTTTGCCCGTACCCCTATTGCGAATAGTACACCATCCCGGGGGCTGGCTGCTGGTAGTAGAAGGCATCTGGGCTCGGCGTCACCATGCCGCCCATACCACTAACACCGGGACCAAACTGCGGGGGAGGCTGGTAGCTCTGCTGATAATTGTTCATGGAGGGCATCTGAGTGGCATCGTAATAGTACACCATGCCGTTGACCTCTTGAGCTACCAAATTGGGACCCGTTGGTGCTTGGCCATTTGCTTGTGCAGCCGCGGGGTCCGGCTGAGCTTGAGGAGGGAATCCCTGGCCTTGGCCTGGCTGCCCCGAAGGAACGAACGATGGAGCTGCGGCAGATGGTCCCATATTGTTGCCATTGTACTGTCCGGGGTAGTAATACGGCTGCTGAGGCTGCATCATAGGGTAAGGCTGGTTGTAGAAGTTTTGCTGCTGCTGGAACGTGTTCGGCTGGAACGGAGCCGCGTGAATCGCCCTCTCGGGAATCTGGGACAGAGGCGTGCCGGTGGAGTGTTGCGTGGGGTACGACGGTTGTCGCGAGTGGGCTTCTTGCGGCATGCCGTTGGAAACCTGGAGAGGAACCTGCTGATGGAAAGCTTGTTGGAAGGCTTGCGGGCCTTGGTTGAGGGTCGGCGATTCAATGTTGGTAACCGAGACAGCCTTTTGGGGACGGGGCTGGTGCATGGGGATCGGGTTCGGGCGGCTCTCTTGAAAAGCAGGCTTCTGTGGCAACGGATGCGTCTGCGGCTGCGGCAAGTCATTGATAGATGTTTCGTTTGGCTGCATAGGATGCATGGGGTACCCGTCCTGTCCAACAAATGGCTGGTTTGGGTGAGCCGCAGGTGGGAGGCGGACGACTGGCCGGGGGTTCTCGACTGGAACAGGGGCCCGCGACATGACAGACCCCGTGGGGGAGAACAAGTAGTCACGCCCGTCAGGCGCGAGAGAGGAGCGGCGGCTAAGAGCGATACTGGGAGAGTAGGCGCTGCCGTAGTAGCTTCCACCGAAGACGCTGGTCCGCCGGGAGAAGCCTCCCATGGAACCAAGTCCAGAGCGAGGTTTGCCTCGGGTCCGCTGTTGGTTGGGTCGCATCGCCCGGGGAATAAAAATGAAGGATCGGTCGACAGCTGGGAAGATGTACTTGGGCGGGTTGTCGGGCAAGGAGATGCGGACAGGCTTGTCGCGGCGAAGGGGTGGCCGATGATCCGGAAGCTTGGTGTATTGTTTGACTGGCATGCCAAAGGCTGCGGGAGCTTTGCCAACAACGGGAAGAGACACCCTGACCTGCACGTTGCCGATGTGTCGCTCGGTCGACAAAGTCCGGTTGATCGGGGTGGGGTTGGACGGGCACGTTGGGATGAAGCCGTTGCCGTTGGCCGGACCTTCAGTCTCGACGGGCAGGTGCCTTGGCTGTCTCGAGGGAGGCGGTTCGGTCACGGCCTCGTGCATATCATGCGCCCATTGGCCGCTCGTGAGAGGATCGGTCGGCGTGTGCAGTTGACTGCGCGGATTAGCCGGGAAACGAGCAGAATCATGCTGAGCAGCGTACTTGATGGGTGCATAGGGGCCCCCAATGCCTCCACCACGGCCACCACGTCCCCGTCCTCTGCCAAAGGGTCGGAAGCCGTTGGCAGAGGGTCCGGCATGGCGATGATCGTGCATGAAGAAGGCCCCTCTGTTGGGAACGAAGGCGGGGTCTTCATCCCGTCTCCGCTTGTATTCTTCGTGTTCCCGGCGACGACGTTCGTTGACAGGCTCGACAGGGCGGGATGAGTGAGAGCTCACGACGAGAGGGGCAGAGGACTTTGGGGGAGATGCGGCTCCGTCAAGCTGTGCCTCTTGTTGAACGGGCTGGGACCGGTCGTTGACAGATAGCTCCTCGGCATCGGGTGTGGCCTTGTCGGTCGTCGAGGAGGCCAGGGCCGAGTGTTTCCGGCTACCAGGCTTTGCATTTCCATTCCCAGCCGACTTTCTAGGATTGGGGGTAACGGGAGAGGCCTCATCGATGTTGCTCGTATCGCTATCGTTGCCGTGATCGTGGTCGTCGCTGATGATGGAGCCCTCGGTCAGAGAGTCATCATCGAGTTCGAGCTGGTCAGGTCCACCTTCTCCGTCTTCCTCATCCTCAATACGTCTTCTGTGACCAATCTTTCTGCGTCTCGGGGCGGCCATGTTGAAGCTTGGTTGGAGCTACCTGTAGCAGACTCTATGGGTTAATGAGCCGGCTACGAGGTCGACCGAGGGGCGATGCTCAAGTTGACGGATAGGGCAGGCTCGAGGAGCGGAGGCGGCGGCGGCGGCGGAAGGATGTCGAGACAATCATGCGATGCTTGCGGATGATGGATGAATGGAAGAGAGGGGGAAAAGCAAGTACCGCCCTGCGGTTGGCGAAGAATGAGGGCGATGGAGCAAACAGACAGCCAAGAAGGCGTATTAAATAAAATACACAGCAGCAGTAGCAGCAGCACCGGTTCGTCGGGCAGTGGGGTGAGCAGCAAAGCAGAGCGGGAGGAGGGGGAGAAAAAAAAAACGCAATGCTGTTGACGAGCTGGAGCTGAACCCGTGTCGTCTCCTCTGACCTCTCTGCTTCTAATGAAAGAGCAGATGAAGTGGAAGCCTGGGAATAGGAGGAGGGTTTGGGTGCGAGGAGGAATCGCAGGGGTGGAGATGGTGATGATGATAGAAGGGAGGGAGGGATTTCGGCCAGACGACAAAACCAAGAGCCGTGGACTGGACGGGCGACGGAGAGACGGAGCCACCTCACAGACAGCTGGTGCAGGTGCAGATGTACGGTAGCAGTACGCAGTACCTCAGGTAGGTGCTGGTGCTGGCGCTGGCGCTGGTGCACGCCCAGGTGGTGCACCTCAGTTCATCCTTCCGACCCGTTTCGTTACTACTGGGCCTGGGAAAAAAAAGTGTGGTCTTATTTTTTTTTTTTTCTTCCCGTCGGGTCGTCTCTTCCTTGGGCCGTGGCTGGAGCTGCCCGCTCTGTTGGATCGAGGTACCTTACCACCTTACCTAAGGTAGCTAGGTGTCTTGGTACATGTCTCAACCAGTAGGATTCCCTCCTCGGGGCCGGCTCACCTCGCCAGGCTTGCGACGTTGCCTGGTTGCTTTGGGCCGTTTGGGGCCTGGACCAGCTGGACGTGCCCGCTGTGGAGAGCTGCGAGCAGAGCTGCCCACTAAAATCACCTTGAAAGCTGTGAGGTAAGGAACCTGACTTTGAGGTACGGGTACCTTGGACAGTTTGGGACGCTAACGTGGTGCTTCCCCGCCAATCAGATATGCTTAACGCATCACAACCGACCCACTTTGATATCCGTTTCGTCGAGTTCAAGTCTCTCATCAATTCACCTCATCCTCCATCAAGTATCTATCTCCATATGTTTCTACATTCATACGTGCCACTTACTGAATGATTCAACCATGTAATATGAAGTTCCAGAGGGTTTGACGCTTCCCAAACCCCCAGCGTGATGCGCCGGCTTGCCGTTTCAGGTCTCAGACGCTGGGACGGCCCAGGATCTACCTCGATCTGGCACCGAACCTTAACTTCGTCTTGCTCTCCAAGTGTCTTTCACCAAAACCTTGGGATGGGATGGCAACTTTTTAACTCCCAGGGAGAACGAACCTAGATCTAGGTCAATAGTCAAAGAACCGCTCACTGCACTGAGGTCTCATTCTCAAGCGTAATAATTGCTGGGCAGGTAGCCTGTCCTTGGTTGCTGGAAAACTGGTGTAGATCATCTGCAAACCTCGCCAATTTATGGAGATCCAGCCTCTGTGGACAATGTGCTGTATTTTAATTTGTGTTTGTGGCAGAACTAGCCCGTCCAGCCAGTTGTCTCTCGGCGCTTTCTTCTCAAGCTGTACTGATCCTTGAGCTCTAGGCATCGTCAGAGCCAATGACAGAGTTGCGAATAGCTTTCACAATAGCGGATGACGTAAACCGTATTAGACGATATTAAGATACAGGCAGAGAAAGTCCTCTGAAAGAAAGCCAATTTCCAGTCCTTCTGATTGAGCATCGGTAAGCTGTCAACGCTTTGTCTCTCGGACAAGCCATCTGCGTAGCTCGGTTTAGACTACTCTGATCCAACGAGGCTTACGTAGACGCAAACTAGTTAAACATTGTCATAATAAATAGCATCTCCAAGTCATGGGGGTTTGTGCTCCTGACATGTCACTCCCAAGTCGTTCAAGAGAGATACGAACTCGATGAAAGATTGCATATTCATTATCATCTGTATCTAGTCTTGCTAGAGAAACATCCCTTTTGCGTTACTTCATGAATTCCTTATTTCATAAGCACGTCATGCTCTAAGAAGGTGGGGTGAGATTCTGCGTCTTCTCAATCTTCGGGACGGCGCCAAATCGATTGTTTCCTTGATCCCAGATCTGCCTCAAAAGTCAGTTTCATGTCATAGCACGGCATGTTCGGAAAACAGAGTGTCACTTACCGCATAAATCGACTTCAGGAACGCGTCACCCAAGATGTCAAACTCGTTGGAACCCCGTGACTGCACTCCTCCGTACCAAAATCCGTCACTGGCCGGCGCGAACGCCAGATCCTCCGCCTGAATCACAAATTCCTTGTCACCGACGGCGACCTTGAACTCGGGCAGGTCCTCCGCCTTGGTGCTCGTCGGGAACACGTACCCCTGCTGCTGGTCGTCGTACTTGGCACCGGGGATCGCCTTGTACAGCGCATCGCACACCTCGTCCGAGACGAGTGCCAGCGTGGTGCCCGTGTCCGCAATAGCCTTGTTCCCGCTCTGCGTCACGGCCTTGCCGTTCACGCTCGCGGACCCAGACTCGAACATCCAGAACCCTTGCGAGTTGTCAATGTCGGTCCAGTGGATGTCCTCGCCCGAGGCTGAGACGAGATCCGTGTCGATCCAGCCAAAAGTGTAGAAAGACCGCGGCTTCGCTGCGTCCCGCTCGCTGTAAAAGGCCGAGGTAAAGAGCTCCGCGTCCTTAGGGATGTCCTGCTGCGCAATCATGTTCTCGACGGGCGTGGCAACGGGGTCTTTGAAGTTGCCGTCGCGCATGACCGTGTTGATGGATCCGAAGGCGAGGCCGAGGAGACCGTCCCCGGAGCCTTGAGAGAACTGGTCCGCAAGCTGCGAGGCCGACTCAATGGCCTGGTTCTCGACTGTCAGCCCGCCGAGGACCAGATTGTCTGTGCCGACGTCGCCTGACGCCGAGCTACCGTCGCCGTACGAGATCTTCCACGTCTTTCCGTCGAGCTTGTTGTAAGTCGAGGACTTGGAGGCGTCAAAGATGTTGTGGCCCTTTTGCGTGGCGCTGCTGAGCTCGGTTGAAAAAACCTGGCGCGGGCTGTTAGTAAAGATACAAAGGAAAACAATTTGCTGGAGGTTATACCCAAAGGTCAGAGGAGCCCGTATCAAAGTCCAACTTGAACTTTTGCGGCGGTGTGCCGATTGAGACTTCGCAAAGGTACATTGAATCGTATTGCTGGTCTTCGGCTGTGACATCTCCATGCTGGTCGTCGCCGGTCTTCTTCGAAAGAACTTTGCTCATGGAGACCCGGCCGCCGACGGCGGCATTAAATCCAGGGGCTGCGAGGCCTCTCTGGGCCATTCTTCTTGTCTGGACATAGGGGCCTGGCTTTGTTGGTTCGAACTTGAACTTGTTCAGCAGGTAGACGTAGGACTTCGTGCCGTGACGCTGGTAGTTCTTGTTGGCGATCACGGGGATCTTGGAGAGGCCTTTGTCGGCCTTGAACTTGGCTTGAGCTTTGAGAAATGCTTCCATCTTGTATGCTTGAGAAAATGGGCTTTTGGTGTGTGTGTGTGTGTGTGCGGTGTGTGTAGTTCGGTTGCTTAGGTTAAGTGGTTGGTTATGGCAAGGAAGCCTGAGCGCTAGCTTGGCGGATCAGGTTGATGATTTAAATACCTGCCCGTTATGGTAAAGAAGCAACAATGACGACTCGGATGGACGGCACCGAATGAACCTCAACTAATTGGATCGAACGTGCGATGGCAGGCAGTAAACCTGTTTGGACAGCGCTTGCAATGTGATGAGAGGGAGATATCACCTAGGAGATAGATAGCATGTCAATCATGCGCTGGCCCATTGGGACCTCTTATAAGACAACAAGCCATTGTTTCGCTGACGACAGCCCTGAGCTGAGCTCGACCGGGATCGAGTTGTGTGTTTTGTCACGGCAGACCAGGGAAGAGCCCAATGCCGGCAGTGTGTAAGTGTGACAGCTCTCAGCAAGACAAGGGATGGTGGGGCGGTGCAACTGCAAGGTTGAAACCGAGATTTTGCGACTGCGCATTCGGACCTTCTGACCGTGCTCTTGAGCTGTGTTAGAGGGGGGGCTAGACACAAGTCGGCCCTCGGGCCAACCCGATGAGGCAGTTGATAAGGGAGAAGAGGGGGGTAACTTGTTGGTGGAGTCTGCGTTGAGCCGACTCGAGCCAGATGAGGAGTTGTTTGAGAGGGGAAAACGAAAGGGAAACGTAGTGGAAATGGCGAGTTGCGGAGCCATGTTTTCGATGTCAAGCTGCCAACCTCTTCGTCAAAGCTTCATCCGCCTGAACCATCCGGCAAACTGCTCTTGGCTTCCCGGTCCAGAGAGCTGCCGGGACTCAGCATGACGACTGACATGTGCGAAACCAGGCACAAACTGAACCAGAATCAAAGCTCTCAAATGCCAGTCAGGAGAAAGCGATCTCAGAAGATGAGCAAATCAAGCCAAGAGATGAGGTCCTCCCCCGCCGCCGATGATGTAACGAACTGCCGCACGGTGGTTCCGGGACAGGGATCAGCTTAGCGGGCCATGTCCCGTCTTGGCGGCGATCGACTCCAGACTCCTGGGTACCTTGCCAAGCAACGATGCAGGACCCGAGAAGCAGACGAGGCCTCATAATCATGCCCATGGTCTCCGTTTTACCTACTGCTGGAGATGAACCGGTTATGCCGTGAATGTTCTCCTAGCCGCCGGTTCTTATCACGAGGTTCCATTCCGCTGTGCCGCGACGGCTTGCACGAACGCGTAACAGGCGGATGTGTAGCAGCACTAAATGGACGATTATGCGGTTTGTCTCAAATGTCAAGGGAAGCTCAAGGCCAATGAAGAAAGGCGTGTTCTCTATTTCGAGAACATGTCGACTTTGACTGGTCGAGAATTAGAGCTTGTTGATATCGGGATGTCTTCCGCTCAGACTGGACTGTGAGGGTGTTCTGACCCAAGAGCTTTAGGCAACATTGAGCTTGATAATCCCAAAGGTGAAGCCACGGACACCATTGCTAATCCAGCATGGCTCCCCTTCAGCGAGACTATCGACTTTGACTCCTTCTTCCACAGCCAGCCCACTGGTTTAGTTAGTCGAACACTCATCCCATGTTGGCGGGAAATGGCAGAGCTGTTGACTTACCGCTCAAGTGCCCATCTACGGGTGGTCCCGTCTTGGCCACCGCTCCCAACTTCGGGACTATACTTAGTAGCTACCGGCGGGGTGACCCATCTGCCGTTTCTCCAGAAGAACGGGGTTGTCAGGCTACCCTCCATGACAGACCCGTCTTTCAAGTTTACGAGAAGGACCTCCTTGCGATCTGCCAGACTGATACTCGCTCGACTTCGGGCTGTGTCGTACATAGTTCTCTCTGTAGTCTTGTAGTGCGTGTACTCGGATTGCGCGGTCTTGGTGTTATCAATCACTACCGTCATGGGATTTTCTTCCAAAGGATACCCCGCTTCTTTCGAGTTGCCTGGAGGGGGAAGGCGTTCGGGGAAGAGGTTCTCAAGCGGTACAGCCGGGACCTGTGATGCCTCGCAGCTGAGATCTCCTTCTGAATCGAGTAAGACCTTGACTCGCAGCGGTTTCTCTCTGCCATGCTGAGTCAAGAAAGTCTCAATCGCCTCAGTCAATCTTTGGAGGCCGTCCGATCCCGAGATGGTCTCGATGGCAGGGGTCCAGTTCCAAAAGGTGGCAGCCCGTAGCATCCGATCCCGGTGCAGATCAAGCATGTAGAAAGGTGAGGTCATTTTCGCGTTCCAACCTGCGTTGGCTAGGCGCCTTTTGGGTACGCCTACCAAGCCAGGGTCGTATCGAAGGGATGTGAATAGCTGGAAGTTGGCCATCGTGATGGGCTTACCATGCCAATCCTGGTGTTTGATGCAGAATGATGGGTGAATGGTTCAAGTCGACGATGGAAAGCTTTTTGAACGGAAGATGGTGTTCTCTGAGGCTTAGAGGGAGTACCGAGGCGCAGAAGTCGGTTTTTGAGTTCAAGAGAAACTGCAAGAGCCACCCTGGTTTAGAAACGTTCATACCGGGGTCACAGTGGGAGATACTTGCGCCTCAATGATCCCCCGTGTATTTACGTAAGCAGAGCCACCGTTCCTTGCGAGCGACCAACCAGCATCGCTAGGACGACGTTACAAGAATTGCAGGTGAACCATGGATTCTGGGGCAAAGTCATCAACTGACCACTCGGCGAAAACATGAACAAACGAAAATTAGACGCTGCATGAAATGTAAGCGGACGTCTTATATAGACTATATAGAATCTATAGTCCGCTTTGGGACAAGCAAGAGATGATTTGAGGCAATGGGCGAAGTAGGACGTCAGACTGGAGAAGCGCTAGGATGACCAAGCTGTTCTGAAATGGCAGGTATTGAACATCCAAAGGAATTCGTTCTACTCATCGCCCTAATTAAGCCCGCCTTGGACCTCAACTTCTCCATCCGCCATGCGAAGGAGAGGTCCAGATGATCCTAGCAGACTCTCGAAGGCATGAGCAGAATTCCATCGTATTCTCGTATGTCCGAGCAGTCTAGCATACAGGTGCCGGGAAGCCTCGTTGCTTGTCCAAAGAAATGTCAGTCTCATAGTGTATCACAATGACGTGCCGGGCAAGATCCAGGAGCCATTGTTCGATGTTTAAGGACGAGAAACCAGGACTACGGCGAGACCATGCCTACATACTTGTTAGGCGGGACGACGACACTGTTTGTCATATGAGAGCTACGGAACTCCATCTCGTCATAGCCATGTTTGAATGCGTTTGAGGTGAAGTTGTCGATGATTCCAGGACACTGCCTGATTGGTTGTCGGAGAAAATATAGTGCGTTGAAGGGCGGGAAGGACCTTTGGACCTACTCACTGGTTGGTGTCCGACGCAACGTATTCGCTTTAGATTGATCGTAAGGCGATGGAAGGCATACATCTTCGTACTGATGTTGATGGTCGAGAACTTAGTATAATTGCTTACTGGCTTCGCATTCGTAAGATGAACCAACAGACAAACTACGAAAAGTCTTGACCGTGGAAGAAAAAGCGAGCACGGATTTGTCTTCCTGGGCTATAGACAGTGTCCAGAAATGTGACAACTCATACAATGTGATATCGATGCCACTCTCAGTACCAGCATCACCATTGTCGATCCCTGTCAACATTCCGTTTCCATAATGGGAAGGTGACAGACATCTCATACTTGCAGACTTTAATCTCATCCATGGATCGATCAATCAAAGGTAGGTAACATTAGGCTGTGATCACAACCTACCGTCAAAACTGATGTGTCACACAGTCTTGGAGTCTGGTGAAGTTATCGGTCTCTCTGAATTGCCAGCTTAGAAACATGAACATCCTCCTTTTTGTAGCTGTTAGCTTCCTTGAGCTTATGTTCATGAATTCAGAGCACCCAGGCTCTGTTGAAGACTCTGAAGCGGGTTTCGTCTCCTGGGCGGACATTGCAGTAGTTTATCTACATAAGTCATCATCAAGTATCTCCATGGCCGGCATATGATTCCGGTTTGTCTTCACATTTATGACTAGACACAGCCGGTAATTCGGAGACGGAATAATTCAACATCACTCAAAGCCGAAATTGCAGCATTCTGGCATGAAGCTGGCCGTTCGTCATCGAGAGTGCCGCCACTCTGCATCTCAAGTAGAACAGCGAGCGCGGGTGCAGGTGGGTGAATGTTGGCAGCTGGCGCTTTGCTTATGCTACCTTACTTGAGCCTTTCAAAGGGTCAACACAAGCCGCTATTTGAAGCTGTAAGGTATCGCCAGGATACGTTATTATTTGGTACGTCGTGGTGGGCAACTGAGCAGCCATGAACTTGATGCCTGGCCATGACGGAGTGGCTTTGCCAGAATATTACTCAAAGGGATGGGTCAGGGATGACCAAGTCTACGTTGTGATAGATCTATCACATTCTACGATGGCTGGTGGGAAACAGCTACAGCTGGTTTGGAACTATTTCGTGTAAACTTTGTCACTTGCATATGATTTCTCGTCTGAGAGACGGTGTAACTCACAATTGATTGCAAGATGATATTTCATTTGACTTCCAGAGTGATGGAGTCAGTCATATAGGTAAAGCAAAGACAGCGGAAGGAGTTGGATGATAAAGTACAACATGATAGACCTTGCGGTGATGGCTGTACTGAACTGGTGAGTAAAATCGACTACGTTTTGCGAAACAAACAACATGGCAACAGTATGTCTTTGACATCTTGACTTATTGTACCCGCAAACTCGCTTTGAATTCAGTGAGACTACAGATTATGAGTTAATGTGACTCAGATAAGATGAGGTCCAGCTGGTGGGGAACTGTTCAAAGAGAAGACACTGGAGAGATTTTATTACTCTCAAGGTGCCTCATCCAAGTGAGCACACATGCACAGTTCTGAGTCCAGGCGGTGACATGGCTTATCTGTCAAGGTACTTGGGTACTTCACCCTGCATGCTGCCGTCCGCAGGCTCTGGGCCTCTGGCTGACCAACGCACCCTTGCGTTGAGGACAATTAGGACCCTCTTTGGTTACGTAGTGTGCAGATTTATAGGCGGTCCTCCCTTGCGCCCCCACTCTTAAATCGCCTGAGGCCAAGCTGATTTGATGAATGACAGCACCAAGCAGAGGCAATTGCCCGGAAAAACTCCTCACGAGCTTCCCCGTCGCGCAATAATTTTTTGAGGACGGTTACTGTCCGGAAGCTCCTGGCTCAGCGCAAGTGCAACAGCAACAGCAACAGCAACAGAGCAACAACACCTGCAGCTCCTGCACCCTCTACATCATCGACCACGCTGGTCAGCCCATTAATTACGTTCCTTTCGACATCGCGACTTTTCTTCCTAGAATACCTCTGATACCTGTCTTCCCTTTCTCTCTCAATTGCTCTTGGGCTCATCGCCAACATGTCGAATCCCCTGCCGTCTGTGCCTCCCATGGCCAGCCCTCCGACTGTAATCCCCGTTGATTCATCTTCTGGCCTCTGGGATCGCATCACCTCATGGGCTTCGGATAACAAGGCCATTGTCTATACTGCCGCTGGTGTCGCCGTCGTCGCCACCGGTGCTGGTGTCATCTACTTCCTCAACAGCGACTCCGTACGTCATCCTTTCCATCTTATCCTCGTAACCCTCGTCGTCGTCATGCGATCCAATTTTTCCACCCGATACTACCGAGATCTTGGCGTCTTTTGCTGGCGTCGGATCTCTCCTCTCGGATAGCGAAGCTAACCAAAGTGCGATTGAAGAAGTCAGACTCGACACCAAAGCTCAGTAAGAAGGAGCGAAGGAAAAGAAAGGAAGCCGAGCGGAAGGCTGCAGCAGATGCCGAAAAGCAGCCCACACCTGCAGAGGCCGCAGTCCCTGCGTCGTCCAAAGCAGCCAGCGTCGAGTCCGCCGACGAGCTTCCCGAGATCACCGAGGCAACTGTTGCCGAGTTCACTACCGAAGAGCGGGAAAAGTACGCCGCCAAGCTTAAGGATGTCGGTAACCAAGCCTACGGTGGCAAGGACTACAACAAGGCCATCGACCTCTACTCCCAGGCCATTCTTTGCAAGGCCAACCCCATCTTCTACTCCAACCGCGCCGCCTGCTACAATGCCCTCGGCAACTGGGACAAGGTCGTTGAAGACACGACTGCCGCCATCAACCTTGACCCCGAATACGTCAAGGCACTCAACCGCCGCGCTAACGCCTATGAGCACCTGAAGATGTACGGCGAGGCTCTCCTCGACTTCACTGCTTCTTGCATCATCGATAGCTTCAAGAACGAGAGCAGTGCGCAATCAGTCGAGCGCCTGCTTAAGAAGTTCGCCGAGCAGAAGGCTCAAGAGATGATGGCCGACCGGCCCAACAAGCTTCCCAGTCACACTTTCGTCGGCAACTACCTCCAGAGCTTCCGCGTCAAGCCCCGTCCGGCTGGCCTTGAGGACTCTGTGGTTTTGTCCGAGGAGACTGGTAAGGGACAACTCCAGCTCGGCCTGAGTGCTCTGGAGAAGAAGACTGGCGACGGGTACGAGGAGGCCAGAGCGGCCTTTGAGAAGGCGTTGGAGTTGGGCGACCTGGGCGAATTCGAGGCCCTTGCATACAACCTGCGCGGCACTTTCAGCTGCCTGCTCGGAAAGCACGACGATGCCATGGTCGACCTGACCAAGAGCATCGAGCTGGATCCTTCCATGACCCAGAGTTACATCAAGCGCGCCAGCATGAACCTCGAGCTTGGCGCCCCGGAGAAGGCTGCTGAGGACTTCGAGAAGGCCATGGAGCAGAACACCGAGGACCCTGATATCTACTACCATCGCGCTCAGCTCCACTTCATCAAGGGCGAGTTCTCCGATGCCGCCAAGGACTACCAGAAGTCGATCGACCTGGACCGCGACTTCATCTTCTCTCATATCCAGCTGGGAGTGACCCAGTACAAGATGGGTTCTATTGCATCATCCATGTCAACTTTCCGCCGCTGCATCAAGAACTTCAAGGAGGTTCCCGACGTCTACAACTACTACGGTGAGCTGCTTCTGGACCAGGGCAACTTCCAGGAGGCCATTGAGAAGTTCGACAGCGCCATCGAGATGGAGTCGAAGACGAAGCCCATGGCGATGAACGTCCTTCCTCTCATCAACAAGGCTCTCACCCTGTTCCAGTGGAAGCAAGACTTTGGTGAAGCCGAGAAGCTTTGCCAGAAGGCCCTTATTAGTAAGTTTAGACTAGATCATTCTACGGACTGTGGTTGCTAACCAATGATAGTTGACCCCGAGTGCGACATTGCTGTCGCGACGATGGCCCAGCTTCTGTTGCAGCAGGGCAAGGTCACCGAGGCGCTCAAGTACTTTGAGCGCGCTGCAGAGCTTGCCCGCACCGAAGGTGAGATCGTCAACGCCCTGTCCTACGCCGAGGCGACGCGCACGCAGCTCCAGGTTCAGGAGAAGTACCCCAAGCTGGCGGCAAAGCTTCAGGGCATCGGCCCGGGTGGCATGCCCCGGTAAAGGGCTAATGACGTCTTGAACATGAAACATGTAAAACTCACCTGTCGGCGGCGTGTAAGAAGAGAACAGCAGATCCCTTAGCATATGAGGGAGCGGATAGCCAAGACAAAGGGCTCTTGGTTGGTAATAGGGGAAAATATCAAGGCGGGCAAGCCGCCCGCCTCGTCAAGTCGTTTTTCGTTGATCGGTGAGGGAAGCTTTGGGAAAGGAGAGCAAAATCCAAGGCTACGTACGTACGGCTGGGGAGGCATTGGTTGAAACCCTTACGTTGTACATAATCCGACTTCCCTCACTCTACGTACATTGGTGAGAGCATTGTAGAACTAGTTCACTGTCAATCATCTTTCGCTATTTTCCATCTTTGCAGTTGCACCCGTGTCTACTATCTTTTGCTCCAAGTTTGACCTCCCAGATGCGTCCCACACAACCAATGACACACAAATACATCTGCTCTGCAGGCTCACGGCTCTGCTTCAGCGTGTTTACAGCCCACTTACTCGCAAACATGCGTCTGTTCAGTGACCGGAAAACCACCCCAAACAGCAAAAGTCACAACATCTAATCAACCTTCAATACCCACAAGGCTCAGGGGAGCCAAAAAGATGGACGATCTGGGAATCGAACCCAGGACCTACCGCATGCTAAGCGGTCATTATACCACTAAACCAATCGCCCAGCGAGAATGATCTAGCCCGGACTTGAACCGGAGACCTTCAGTGTGGCAGACGAGAGCGGGTGAAGCTCTAGAGCTGTTAGACTGACGTGATAACCAACTACACCACCAGACCATGTTTCTGTTGAAGGCAACAAGCAAAAAAGAGAACTAGGAATGGTTGGGAAGAGAGAGGGGGGAGGGGGACCACAGAGGTTGCGGGCAGGCGTTGCGGTGTGGAATGTGAAGAGTGGATGTGGATGCGGTGGCATCGTGAGTGCAAATTTCGTTGGTGGGGGGGCGGGCGCAAACCGGGGTGCGCCGAAGACGACACCGACAGGCCTGGGGCCCTAGACCGGCCGGGTTCTCGCGTGGCGGCCATGGTTCGAACGGGATGAGATGCTGATAGGCAGGTCGGGTGGGCCGGAGGGAGGAAAAAAAAAAAAGGTCGAAGATTCTGAAGAGCGACTCGTCAAGGTCATGGGTCATGGGACATTTACGGACAGATGCCATGCGAGTTCGAGTTCATAAGTGTTCGCTATTGTGCGATACGTACAAGAGGAGAAAAAATGGTAGCCTCTGCCTCTTCCAGTCAACTCAAATGATCCAACGGACCGGCGAGTATAATAAGGAAGAGAGACGCAAAATAAATACAGATAAAAAAGTCCACTCCATGTCCCCCCATTCCGTCTGATCGAATGAAGAGTATGCGTGCAATAAGTCAATCGTTGGTTGGGAATCAAGAGCCTGCCGTGTCTCCTATACGCGGCAGCTGAAAAAGAAAAATTGTGGCTTCGTCGGAAAAGAGCTGGGTGTTCTTTGGGTTCGTGAGGCAGCGCGCGCGCGCATGCTTCGCCGTGTTTTTATGTTGCCCTTAATTAGTACCGTCCATTCGTCCGAGCCATGGTCATGAAGTCTAAACAATCGTAGTACTGCTCTTTTGGAAGTGCTGTCCCATTCCCATCATACAAGGGAGGCGCCAGCATTGCCTCCCCCGTTTAATTACTTTCTCCGAATCGTCGTCATCGTAGCGCGGAATCGCACTCGATTATCCGGTGTTTGAGGATAATATCCCTTAGTTATTCTTCTTGGTGAGAGCAACGCCCAAGCCGACACCGAGCGCGATGGCAAGGATGATGAGTACAACAACAAGGAGGCACCACCACTTGAGCTTCTTGCGTCTGCGCGCGTGGTCTGTCGCAACCTTGACCTCTTCATTACCCTTGTGGAGGTTTTCAACAGTCTGTTCGGCGTTCTGCTCAGCGGCTTGGACGACGGGCTCCTGCTGCTCGACTAGAGTGGCCAACTCCTGGAAGAGTTGGGCAAGCTCCATCATGGTTTGCTCAATGCGCTGCAATTCGCTGTGGCGGGCTCTGACGTTGCCCAAAATAGAGTTGGCGTGGCCTGTCCGGTTGGATTTGAGCTGGTCAAGCCGTTAGTATACAGTGCCGACGAACCGAGAAAACCCGGTCACAAGTAATGCCAAAACATACCGCTGTTTGGAAAACACCTTCGTCGCCCCAGTCCATTTGTGTCGCTTGCTCGACTTCATCTTCCGTCGCTTCCGGGTTGACGATGCGGTACTGGCGAGCAATCTGGTCGCGGTACCGCTTCTGGTAATCGCGCTCGATCTGCTGGTACTTTTCGAGTTCGGACTTGAACGTGTTCTTGAGAGAGTTGAGTTGGGCGGTTTTGGTGGCGCGCGATCCGTCTTGTGTCTTGGATAGATCCCTCTCAAGGGCCTTGATGCCTTCCTTGACACCGGTGTTGCGGATTTGCGTCGCGGAGACGGCCTGCTCGAGCTGGGCGCTGGTGCTGCCGTCGGGGGAGCCGAGAGAGCGCTGGTGAAGCTGGGCAATGCCCTCAATGTCGGAAGTCAGGCCATTGATTTCTGTGCGCAGTTGTTGAACACGAGCGAGGAAATCCTGCTGGCTCAAAATGCGAGGCGCGGCTTGCCCGGCATTCTTGTCCGCCTCTCCGTACGGCTGCATTTCGTACTGGCCTTGACCATATTGAGGCTATTATTTAGGGAAAGTTAGCGATATGGCATTGAGAAGATATACGCGGATTTTGGATGGCGGCGGACCTGTTGGTTGTCATAGCCGTATCCGCCCTCGGCCTGGGGGCCCTGGGCGTAGGGATTCTGGTTATACTGTTGGTACGACATGTCTGACTAAAAGCAACTGTCGATGTCGACGGTAGACAGTGCGATTCGAATCGTTGTGCTCGACGAGCGAGAAAAATTGACTGAGAGAGAGACTGGTGCTATATGGGGTGATTGAGCCTGCGGTCTCGTGAGATTGTTGTGGTGGTGCAAGGTGAAGGACCTTTCGGCTGATGTTTGGTTGTTAAATGACGTTGGACCTCCGGCCGCTGACAGGAACTGGGAAGTGCTGGAGAGACGCTGAAATGACAATGAGGACGGGCCCAATCAGGCACCGGGACCTGTCAGAGCGGATACCCCGGGCTGTGTGTGTACTTCGAACGTGGTTGGATGGAGTCGCTCGTGAACGGGGCCACAGTGGGCAGGATTGGCCGATCGCTTTCCGGGGTCCCTTTTTTTCTCGTTCCCTTCTTCCTGTTAAAGTCTGACGATGAAGAAACAAATAAACAAGCTTTACGAAGGGAAAATTCCTTCTTTTAAAATGAAGCTGGTGACGAGGGAGAGATTCGAGACCGTCCACCGCACTTTTTCAATCTTAGTAAGAGTCGGACTTGGTACTTGATTCAATTCCCACGACGTCGGCCGGGAACAGTAAAAGACTGGATGAAGAACACCAGGTCAGTGACATCAGAACATGTTGCGCCGACGGGCGGGGCGAAGCTTATTATACCTGGGACGCATGTTCTTCTCTGTAGCAGCAAGGTAGGGGACGGACGGATGGTCTCACCCACCCCCAGCGAGTCCCAAGGGTCTGTCTCTTTCTCTCACTCACTGGGCGGTCACACACACACACACACAGACACGGCACCTCACACACTGGTCACTTTTAAGGTGCTCTACTCTGCATCTGCCTACCGCCGTCCGACGGGCCTTTGGTGTCAGCGGGAGGCTGGAGGCTGGACCTGCCCCTCGTTCTCTCCGGGGCTCCGACCAGGCCTGTCCGTTTCCCTCCCATTCCCGTCCTTTCCCATCTTTGCTTGGCGAGCAACGCCCAGCCACCCCGCTGCGGGAAAAGAGTGACGATTGACAGCTGAGCAGCAGAATCGCAATGGATGAGGAGCATGAAAACATGGGTTGCTGAGTGGTGGCGGCGGCGACGGCAGATGTCAAATCATGTCTGCGGCCCAAAAATAGACCTTGAGATTCGGAATGCGGCTACAATGCAGTTTGCTTGGGATTTTGAACCAATTGACTCTCAGCTTGTCGCGTGCGGAACCCTTTCTTCCTGCTGCAAAGCTGAGAAACGATGGGCACACGCTTAAAGTCCGTCGGCTTGTTCGCTGACCACACCGGTCCCTAGCCCGGGCAATCGTCACCATTTTGTGGCTGTGCGAATACTTGCGGTTAACACCCCTCAACGTCAAGAGCCTAAGCCTCTCGTTCCTCTTGCCGCGTATTAGCAGACATCCTCGGGCAGTGCTCAGTTTTGTACTGCCTCTACGATTGTCCACCTCGCCTGTCTACTGGCCCTCTACACCTTCTGTCATACAAGGCGATCAAAGGCGATGAAAACCACAGCGGCAATTAGTCAATGAGAGCCGCAAGAGCTTACCTACGGCCAAAGTGCCTCCCGCGGCTTCTTCGTACTTTCGGCCCGTATCCGTATTGCGCGTATGTTCATGGCGGGGCCTCTTAGATACCGAACTCTGTGAACGACCACTGGGACCATCTGATGTATTGCATCCCATGCTCAACGTTCAGTCACTGAGATCTTGGCGTTACCTCCGCCAAGGCTTACTGCTGCTCGCCGTTCATTGGCTCGTAGTAGCTATTGCAAAGAATGGAAAGCTGTTGTCTCGACGTCTCGAGGCGTCATCTGCCACTCGTCCAAAGGAGTCGCATCCATTGAGCCGCGGCCAATTCAATGGTATTACTTGCAAACTCAATTTGCGGTCATGAGCTGAATTCGAGGGTCTTCCGGCTACGGACGTTGATATGCTTCGTCATGAGCAAATCAATGGTTCCAACTATAAACGCCTACCTATCAGCATAGTCACACTCGGCGCAACCAATCAGAAGTAGTAGTTCTTCAACGACATTTTAATTCTTCTTTGCCTGCCCCAACTAATCTCCTGCTTGGAGCTTGATAAGCCTTTGTTTTCTACAGTCCACCATCTTGCTTTTGTAAGCCGCCCAGAAACTATGAGCGTTCTAAATTGGATATCGTCTAGTCCAACATCGTTCTTCGTCTTCTGATTCGCGTAGTTCTTTGAATGCCTCCGCCGTGATTCTCGTCCTTTCGTGGCCATCGAGGACGCTTCAACGGCGCCTGGGTATTGTGGCCTCATCGAAGCCCGAATTCCTGTCACCTCCGGCTCTTCTCCGTAGCATCCTGGTTGACACGTGTTGTTCGTCGTTGCTGCATTTCGCCCACGCAACGAGCTGATCTTTTGGGCGCTGATCGTATTATGCTTGCCCCATGATCTCTCACGGCAGCGATGCCTGAGCCTTCGACAACATCTGTCATGTCGCTTCTCTTCTGTGGTCCTCTCTCTCACAGATACTCCTTCTTTCTACCAGTACGGGTGTACTGTGTAAGGTGCCATTCGACATCGCCGTCCTTATTCTCCAGGGTACCACCGCGAATCTCGAAGGGACGCATTGTCATTCGAGGTCCAACCTCAGCAAGCTCGACAGAATCGTACGAAGTCCGGACAAAGACGTGACTATTAGGGGGTTAGCAAGGATCTGGCTCGGATTAGAGCTTTGAATGAACTTACTGTCTCACTTCAATAGAATCTTCGTTGTTGACAAACGTGACTACCCTTGAGCCTACCTTGGCCTTGGTGGTTGGCGGATCAAGAGGAGGGAAAAGGTGTTTCAGAATCTTCACAACCCGCTGTCCGAGCCGACTAAGAGATTTGACTAATGGTTAATGACCGCCAAGAAACTCCTCAAATCGATGTCTAGCATACCTCTTGAATCCATCGAATATGAGCCGAGGGTAGGCCTCCGAGACAGACCCTCTGATACTTCCCGGTATGTCTGATCTAAATACGATATTAATCTCTACCCCATCGCTGATCGTTCGGGCGTGAGGAGGTACCTGAAAACAATGTTGTGTAGGGAGAATGAGATTGTCGGGCCGTGTGGAAGGTGGGAAATACTTTGTAGGAGAGATACGTCAGTATGGGGCTCCTCGAGAAATCTAGATATAGCAACATACGTCATGGCGGTTGGCACACCGCGATGTTCGTGAAGAAGAACGAGATCGGTGAGTCCGTTTGACTTGCTGGACTGCACAAGATCCGGTAGAATCAAATTTCCACGGTTGAGCCTAACGGACGTAGGAAAGAGCAGTCTTATTTCCTTGGAGAAATTCTGAAGCCGCGAGCTCGGGTCTCTTGAAGTCTAGATAGAGGATGAAGTGGTAAGCTTTTACTCGTGTGTCTAGAATAAGACACTCCAGACCAAGGCACCCTGGAGCTGCGCTTGCGCAGCGGAAGGGAGCGATGCTCCGACTTATTAGATAGACTCACGGTTACTAGTAGACGTGGCTCGGAAATTCCCGACAGCTGAGAGTATTCGTCGTCCAGATCCATCTCCTCGTCGACAGTTCTGTCGGGTCGCGATTCGTCATATTGGTAGTCTTTGCGCAGCGCCTTGTTCTTTGCGATTTCGGGGTCGATGGGCTTGCCAGAAGCAAGTGCAGATCGTAGCTGAGCCCGCTTCTCGGTCGTTTCGGCCTCTTTCAGGATAAGCGCCTTGCGGTAGAGGTAGTCGCGCCGTTGTCGAGCCTGTTTCCGGATCATGCTGGGCAATTGCGTCGAGTGAGGTTGGTATGGGAAGATGGTGGGATGTCTAACACGAAGTTTCGCGATGCGTCCACCAAGGTAGACATGCTGATCCAAAAAAAAAAAAAACCTTATCAGGTGGCAGATATCCTCTTTGGAGCACCCCAGTCTGCTAGTCACGTGGTGATAAGCTACATCCCACCAAAACATCACCCTTTCGCCGCCGCTGCTCTGAGGTGCCGGACTTTGGATCTTTTTGTTAGCTGGGTGCTTGAAATCACCAACGAAAAGGCACACAACCGCTCACGACAAGTCCCTGGCCAGTTGCTGTACCTTTGAGGTTTCCGCACAATCCCCCCAACTTCACATACCGATATGATGTGACCTTACCCAACCCCGATCCACCTCGAATTCCCCTTCCGTACGACCTGAGCCAACTGAGGCTCTGCGACGCCGAACCATTCGAGAACCATAAAGAAGCTGAAGTAGGTTGCGCATTTCCCATAGCACCAAACTGATGTCTCCGACACCATCGCAGGCACCTACATAGGCATTTCTACAGTTGTCTTGTTTGCGACATCCCACTAACACTTTCGCAAGGGAGAACAGCAGAGAGAAGTAGAAATCCGGAATACCGCGAATATGGAGAGCGCCTTCAAGAATCTCGGTAACCACCTGGTTTCCGACAGCGCCGCTGCGATCAAGGCAGGCGACGACGTTTTGACTGGTATCGACGCCGATGAGAGTCTTCTCTATGGCAAGTTTGGTGGTCGCGACGGTCGCCGCCGCGCCGACGACGACGACAACCAAACCGAGCTTTACGATGATGACGATGTTGACAGCCTGACCAGCATGCCTGTCGGGGCTATGAAGGATCTCAATATCGGAAGACCCAAGGAGGAAGATAGGAAGCTTCCCCCTCACGCTTGCGCGTATGGCATGCCTCCGAGCTTCCGAGCCTTCGTTTGAATCTAACACTGGCCTAGGTACTGTGGAATTCATTCCCCGAGCTCCGTCGTCAAGTGCCTTGGCTGCAACAAGTGGTTCTGCAGTGCCCGCGGAAATGCCACCTCCAGCCACATCGTGTCTCATCTGGTACGGGCGAGACACAAGGAAGTTCAGCTTCACCCGGAGTCCACCCTGGGTGATACTGTGCTAGAGTGCTACAACTGTGGAACCAAGAACGTCTTTCTCCTGGGCTTCATTCCCGCCAAGTCCGACACCGTTGTTGTGCTGCTTTGTCGTCAGCCTTGTGCTGCGAATACATCTTCCAAGGATATGAGCTGGGATACCTCTCGATGGCAGCCTCTGATCGAGGAGAGAGCTTTCCTTACCTGGCTCGTTGCGACGCCCTCCGATGCCGAGCAGCTCCGCGCTAGACACCTCACCCCGCCGATGATTGCCAAGCTGGAGGAGATGTGGAAGGAAAACGCGACTGCTACGGTTGCCGATCTTGAGAAGGCCGCTAGCATCGATGATGACCCTCACCCCGTCCTGCTCAAGTACGACGACCCTTACCACTACCAGAACATCTTCGGCCCGCTCGTCAAGATGGAATCCGACTACGACAAGAAGCTCAAGGAGGCGCAGTCCGAGGATGGACTTACAGTCCGCTGGGATTACGGTCTCAACAACAAGCACCTGGTCAGCTTTGAATTGCACAAGATAGAGTCGGGTGACGTCAAGCTGGCCGTTGGCGACGAAATGCGACTGCGGTACAAGGGCGAGCTCCGCCCCGCCTGGGAGGGAGTTGGCTATGTCATCAAGATTCCCAACAACCAGTCTGACGAAGTAACCCTGGAGCTGCGTAAGGCCGGCAACGAGAAGACCGTCCCAACTGAGTGCACCCACAACTTCTCTGCAGACTATGTCTGGAAGGCTACCTCGTACGACCGCATGCAGTATGCTATGAAGACTTTCGCCGTGGACGACATGAGTGTCTCGGGTTACATTTTTCACAAGCTCCTGGGCCACGACGTTGCCGTTGCGCCGATGAAGACGACCATGCCTAAGAAGTACAGCGTTCCCGGCCTCCCCGACCTCAACACCAGCCAGATCGCCGCCATTAAGGCTGTGCTGTCAACCCCGCTCAGCTTGATCCAGGGACCTCCAGGCACTGGCAAGACTGTTACCTCGGCGACCATCATCTACCACTTGTGCAAGATGAACAACGGACAAGTTCTCGTGTGCGCGCCTTCCAACGTGGCCGTTGACCAGCTCTGTGAGCGAATCCACCGCACCGGTCTCAAGGTCGTTCGTCTTACAGCTAAGTCCCGCGAGGATGTTGAGTCCTCCGTGAGCTTCCTTGCTCTTCATGAGCAGGTTCGCATGAATGACAGCAATGGTGAGCTGGTCAAGCTGGCGCAGCTCAAGACCGAGCTCGGCGAACTGTCCAGCCAGGACGAGAAGAAGTTCAAGCAGCTCACCAAGGCGGCCGAAAGAGACATTCTCCACAACGCTGATGTTGTCTGCTGCACTTGTGTTGGTGCTGGTGATCCTCGTCTGTCAAAGATGAAGTTCCGCAATGTCCTCATCGACGAGTCGACTCAATCGGCCGAGCCCGAGTGTATGATTCCTCTCGTTCTCGGATGCAAGCAGGTTGTCCTCGTTGGTGACCACAAGCAGTTGGGCCCTGTCATCATGAATAAGAAGGCTGCCAAGGCTGGTCTCAACCAGTCCTTGTTCGAGCGTCTCGTCAACTTGCGCTTGGTTCCTATTCGCCTCAACATCCAGTACCGCATGCATCCTTGCTTGTCTGAATTCCCTTCTAACATGTTCTACGATGGATCTCTCCAGAATGGTGTTACTGTCAAGGATCGTGTTCGCCGCGATGTCGATTTCCCTTGGCCCGTCGTCGATATGCCGATGATGTTCTGGTCCAACCTCGGCAATGAGGAAATCTCGGCATCCGGAACATCCTACCTGAACCGTACCGAAGCCTCCAACGTGGAGAAGGTAGTGACCCGCTTCTTCAAGGCCGGCGTTAAGCCCTTGGACATTGGTGTCATCACTCCGTACGAGGGTCAACGAAGCTACATTGTTAGCACCATGCAGAACACCGGCACCTTCAAGAAGGAGAGCTACAAGGAGGTTGAGGTTGCCTCCGTCGACGCCTTCCAGGGCCGTGAGAAGGACTTCATTGTTTTGTCATGTGTCCGTTCCAACGACAACCAGGGCATTGGTTTCCTTTCGGATCCTCGCCGTCTCAACGTTGCCTTGACTCGTGCCAAGTACGGTCTTGTCATCATTGGTAACCCCAAGGTTCTTTCCAAGCACGAGCTGTGGCACCACCTCCTTGTCCACTTCAAGGACCGCAAGTGCTTGGTTGAGGGTCCTTTGACCAACTTGCAGACTTCTCTGTTGCAGTTCGGAAAGCCCAAGACAGCATATCGCCAGAAGATGAGCCAGCCCCCTCAGTTCAATGCCGGTGGCGGGTTCCCCAACGGCGGTGGCAACCGCTTCAACGGCGCTGGCTCCACACGCGACTTTGATTCGGGATCTATGATGTCTTACATTCCCGACGACGTCTCCTCGATCCACAGCTCTCTGGGCGGTGCTGGCTTAAACACCACCTACCCTCCCATCTTCTCGAGCTTCACCCCTGACCAATGGCCTGGCCTCCCCGGAGTGCCCGGATCTAGCCGCTCCGGCGTCAAGAGAGGAGGTCGCGCCACCGAGAGCATCGCGGGCGAGAGTGTTGCGAACTCCGAGTACACAGATGCCAGCGCCAGCGTCATCGGCGCCAAGGGTGTCGGACAAGGCGGAGTCAGCTTGGGCGCCGGCCTCCAAGACGCCATTCACGGTATGCGCCCTGCGTCCTACAGCCACAGCGACCGCTTGAAGCATTACGTCGAAAGTGGTGGTCGTATGGGAGCCGGCAATGGCTTCAGCCGTCGCTACGATGACGACGAGAAGAGCGTCAGCACCGCCTTCCACAGCCAGATTGGTGGTGGCTTCGACTGAGTGCCGAGATGGATTGGGACAAGGACTTGCTTTACCAAACCCAAGGGTCATTTACACCTCATCCTCTGAAGGCTTCAGCCCTCGCCGCACCATGCTCGGTGCTGTACACAGGAACAGGCAGCACGCCTGAGCCTAGAGGCGTCTCGGAATACCGGCTCCGGTCATTGAGAACCACTCCACGTGGTCGACCATTCGGCTTCCAACGACGACAACGACGTGCCGCAGGCGGGTCATGGCCCGACCAGCGAGAGCTGCAACCGACGGAGGGGGTCGCATGCGCGCCCTCAACGGCCCGTACTTTGCAGATTGTCAATCAGGGAGATGTCGAGTGTTAGCAAGGGGAAGAGAGATCTGGCGGGGATAGGAGGTTATGCTCGGGCGGAGGACCACGGGTCAGCGTCTGAGAAGGCAACTCAAAATGCGGTCGAGCATTAAGGCGTAGAAGCGACAAGTCTTCTATGGCACACTGCACTTACTGCGAGGAAGCCCACAACAGATGCCATGCAGTTTCTATGCTGCACGCAGAAAGCGCACTACGAGATCCAGCGTAGAGTTTAGCTTCTTAGTTTAATCACCGTCTTTATTTGCACCTTGTCCACTGCCCCCGGATTGCGCTAATCATCGTGAGACTATTTTCACAGTATCCTGATCCGCAGGCCTGGTCGGGCCGGAGAGGTAAACTTGTCAATGTGGCACAGTGGCACACGCGGACCCTGTGTTCGTTGCGTATCGGATATACTCCGAAGTACTGTGCCTTTCCATTTTAAACGCCGTAGTGCCTTGCTTATTACTTGTTTGGACAAAGTGTGGAAGAATTGTAGTGTATCCTCTTTTTTCCTTGCTGATGGCGTAGCATCAGCCAATCCACTGATAGACAGGGGCTAGGCACCGGCCCCCCACAGACTTGAAAATAGATTGGCAGCGACGGGGGGCCACCCATGTTCAAGCGCGGGAGCCTCACCCAATCTGACAACGACAAGCAGGTCACCACCCCCTGACAGTCCTGACGGACATGCATTCTTCGCGAGACCGGGCCATCTGACGGAAGGTCCACTATGACGATCCGTCTGATTCTTGGCTTCGCAAAACGTTTGGCGAGCGGATTCCCCAAATGGAGTTTCGAATTGCAGCAAAGCGGCCAGCGGCCAGTGGCCAGCCACCGGGCGGCAGTCTTCGGGGAGGATTGAGAAAAGGGTGAAGGCCAATAAGGGGGGGAACTTGGGAAGCGCAGGAACGGCTTCTTGGCGTTTTTACGTACACATGTTGAGCAGGTGAGTATCAATGCCTTTGCCTTCTTTGGCGGTGGGAAACAAACCCGATGGCTCCGTAACCCCCCTTGGCCCAGGTTTGTTTGGTTCCTGAGCGTCAGAAGAAGCTTTGGCGCTTCCGCTTCTTCTTCCGACCTTCCACTGCCAAGGCTTCGTTTCTTTTTCATCCAAAGAGGTGGCACTTGGACCTAACCTCGTATCGGAGGGTTGGTTTGGTTTTTATCCCAACACTGTACTCCTTCGCTGGGCGAAACGACGAATTCTCCCTCGATACTGCGGTCTTTCACCTCGTCTTGACGGGGAACGACATGAGTACCCAGTTGCCTCGAGCAATGCTACCGCTGCCCTCTTTATCCTCGTACCCCGAGCCGCCAACATGATCACCATACGCCGACGACCCGCGAGGGTACCAATTTACCTGGGCATTGCCCTGACGCTGCTGTTTGTCTGGCACGCCGGCTTTCCCGCCGGCTGGAGCGCCGGAACCCTCAGTTACAACGGCATCCGCTACCGCAAGTCCAGCTACGACTGGGCAAGTCTGAAACCCGAATATCCTCTAGAGAAGCCGTTGCGGACGCCTCCGAGAGGCACACCCGTCGAACTCCCACGAGTACAGTACGATTTCGACGGCAGTAAGAAGCAAGCGGGGAAGAAGACGAGCAAGAAACTATCCCACGATGAGAACGGCGACCGCGATCGGGAGAAGCAGACCGAGTCGAGACGGGCCGCTGTGGTTCACGCCTTCCGGCGGAGCTGGGCGAGCTACAGAGAGAATGCGTGGACTTGGGACGAGCTGACCCCCGTATCGGGTCATGGCAAAACCACGTTTGGTGGTTGGTCGGCCAGTCTAGTCGACGGCCTCGATACCCTATGGATCATGGGAATGCACGACGAGTTCCGCCGGGCCGTGAAGACTGTCGCGCTGATCGACTGGTCCAATACCACGGAGACAGCCGCCAATATGTTTGAGACCACGATCCGTCACCTGGGCGGTCTCATCAGTGCCTATGACTTGAGCGGCGAGCCGGCCTTGCTTGCCAAGGCCGTTGAGCTGGGTGACATGCTATACATGGGCTTTGATACCCCGAACCGCATGCCGCCTTTCTGGTTCAAGTTCTCTGATGCAAAGTACGGCACGCAAAAAGTGGGCGAGCGCGAGTCCTCGGCTGCGGGCTGCTCACTCTCCATGGAGTTCACCCGCCTGTCCCAGCTGACGGGCGATGCGAAATACTACGACGCCACGGAGCGGGTGAAGGAGTTTCTTGTTAAGACGCAGACGCGCAGCAAGCTGCCCGGCATGTGGCCCATGTACATGAACTACCGCGACGAAAAGGTGGAGGACAGCTCTTTTACCATCGGCGCCCAGGCCGACTCCCTCTACGAATATCTGCCAAAGATGCACGCCCTACTAGGAGGTCTCGACAGCGAGTACGGGAAGCTCACAGTCGATTCTTTCGATGTCATTGACAAGCACATCCTCTTCAGACCCATCCTCCCTAACAATACAGACATCCTCATCCCAGGCAACGCCTTTGCCCATGGCGACAACGTCGACCTAACGCCCGAGATGCAACACCTGGGCTGCTTCGCCGGCGGCATGTACGGCCTCGCCGGCAAGCTCCTGGGCCGGGAATCATACGTCACCATTGGCGAAAAGATCTCCCGCGGCTGCGCCTGGGCCTACAAAGTCTTCCCCACGGGCATCATGCCCGAGATCATGACATTTCACCCCTGCAACGAGCCGGACCACGGCGCCTGCGAATGGGACCAAAAGACGCACGGCAGCAAGACCGACGTGCCCGGCGGCGTCAAGCAGGTCCGCGACAGCCGGTACATGCTCCGCCCCGAAGCCATCGAGAGCATATTTTACATGTACCGCATCACGGGCGACGACGAGTGGCGCGAGGTCGCGTGGGACATGTTCCAGAGCATCCGACGCGCGACGGAGACTCCGCTGGCGTACTCTTCCATTGCCGACGTCAACGTGCAGCCGGGGCAGACGACCAAGACGGACTCGATGGAGAGTTTCTGGTTCGCTGAGACGTTGAAGTACTTTTATCTCATCTTTTCGCCGCCTGATGTGATTAGTCTCGACGAGTGGGTGCTCAACACTGAGGCGCACCCTTTTAAGCGGCCCCGGAAGACGGATCACGTTGAGACTGAGGCGGAGATTCGGGAACAGTCCAAGTAGATTTCACAACGATGGCCATCATATATGGTGAATGGTAGGAACGCGAGCATCAGGTGCATTTCAGATCCCGTTTATTCCATTGGGGCGGATGTATATGTGCACAGTATAGACAGAAAGACGGCGCGCAGGATGCATGTCACTTCGTAGAAGCTGGGAAGCTATATAAATCTACATTTGACTTTTTACCTGTTGTTGTTATATTGAACCTTGGTCCAAGTCTCGACTCGCCGTCTCTACTAGCCTTGACTTAGATATGGTCCGAGTATATTACGTCCCGTCGCGCTTCGAAGAATATACGATGGCCATCTGTCTACTCACATCTTTGCCCCCCATCTCGTGAAGACATGGAAAATATGAGGCCACGGACCGACTTATTCCACAGACCAGCGAGTTGACAATGTCGCAACCGCGAAAAGGTATCGTGGACCCGGAAAGCCCCTAGTTTGGAAACACTCACCTCGTACGTAGCAAGGTAGTCAATCCATCCTCGGAGACGGGTGGCATGAAATTCCCACCAACTCGTCTAGTTGGCGAAATGATCCCCAAAGCCCGGGGAAAGGGGCAAGATGTTCACCACACACGGACAACCTCGAGAGAGAGAGAGCGTGTATTGTCAAGCGGTACAGTACGTCAAGCCCTTGCCTGCCTCGGCTCATCTCATCTGCCTTTTTTGTCCATCGCCGCCGCTACGTATGCTACTACACAAGTTGGAGATTTACGATAAGGCACCAACGTCTAAAGACAACTCTCTCACGAAGCCAGAATATTCGCTTTCCCTATCAGCCCGAACTTGGCATCCTCCCTGAAACTCCTTCAGCCGTCACTCTCTCTAAGATAACCCAAGTAGGTTCTCGAATCCTTCTGGCGGTGTAGCAGTATAGCATCATGTAATTGTCGTGTGCCAGCTTATACCTTACTCGAGGTAGGTGTGGTCACCATCCACGGGAATTATAACGGCAAAGCCGCGATTACCTGATTCACAGAACCATCATCTCCTGCAGTCGTAACAAGTTTAACGCCCTACAGAGAGATGCTCAGGAAAAAGCAAGGAATCCTCGCCAGAAACATGCCCTCAGACACCAACTTGCGCAGCGGCTGTTGCGGACTCACAGAATATTTCACAGCCGCCAGAACCGGTTTGCATATGAAAAAAAACATGCGTCGACCACAAAGTTCAGCGAACAGGTTTGAAACATGGGTTTACTCGCCGACGGGATCTGGTTATGCGGCGGCCAGCAAAATAAGAAAGGAAGAACCAGACCTGCCGGATCTCTGCTTGGCGGCTGAAAAGACCAAAAGTGGTTATGGGATCTTCAGAGCCCCAACTCGGATCACGGGACGAGCCAACGAGCGGAGAGGAGACTGAATAAGGTGTCTTTCCAAGCAAGAAAAAGCAAATGGTGACAGCAAGAGCCCGGTTGGGATTCGTTCTATCGTCTCTCCATCCTTACCAAACACTCCAGATTGCCGTGGATGACCCCACAGTCGCACGGGTTTGTCCGGGGTCCTTGTCATGAAGCTGCTGCGTTGAGCTTTCTTTTCCACTCACCGGTGTAGATGACGAAACGATCATGAGTATTGAATCCGTTTGCGCCCATCGTCCCGCTCAGGAAAGATGAGTTATTTTCCCACTTCCCTCTCGTACTTAAACACAGTCTTCTTGCCTATTCCGCGATACAAGGCAGGAAAAGCAAAACCACCGAGCTCTGGGAGATGGGTACTCTCCAGGGTATGGGACAGTGGATTCATCGTCTGTGCGATGGCCGCGGGTCCTAGCCGGATGTATGTCTCCTATCTTCTCTTTTTGCGAAAGAAACCAGGGCGCTAGTGGTAAAGGTGATCAGTAAACCCCGTTTCTGGATCTCAAGACAGTACGAGCCCGATATAATGATCCACCGTCTCCGGGAGGTAGAGTCAGGGCCCGAGTGTTCACCTTACAGGAACGAGTGCCGGGATGCTGTGTCCATCCGTCGTCGCGGGGCAGGTATCCGTATTATCGTGAGTCTGTATTTAGCGGCGGGTCGTTGTACAACCAGCGGTACCGAGCGGCCGCACAGAGCCACCCTCCCCGGCAATGTAATTTTTGGGAAACGATCTTCAAGAAGAACGGCAGATGGAATAATCATCCGTCCAAGTTGGAGAGATGGAAAGAGTGATTCAAGTCACCCGTTCCGGCGCACGGGAAATTGGTCAGGAGGCTGAATCAGCAAGGTGAACAATACCGTGTAGATGACTCTTGTGTTTGAGATTTGTGGTGGTACTGTGCCGCTTTGTGTTGCGTTGCAGTTCACTTTATCCATCGGAGGTTTTCTCGTTTGAAAGTATGCAGTCGATATTGGTTCTTCAGGTCCCGCTTGATGATACGTGGGTGGACATTGATTGCGATTGCGTTGCGCACCCACTCGTATGCCGGTGTTGTCGACAAATGATTCCGCCAACCGTTCATATTCCGCCTGGATAAACAGTTTCGGGGGCCATGTGGGGTTCCAGTTCGCTTATGTTTGACTAGCAGAACTGAATCCTTCGCATCGTTGCACTTGACTTGTTGCTGGTTAGTCTAGGCTTGAAGAAGTGTGGACCGTGGTTCTGGCCACAATATGTGCTGGGGATGATCCGCTGACGAGAGACGAGACTTGTTGATCGTAGGAAGACGACACGGTCCGCGGAGGAACACTGTCCATAACGAGTAGTTGAGACTGGTAACCAGCGAGGCTACGTGGGTGGGCGTGACGGACTGATGATGCCTACCGCGAGCAGAGAAGCGTCTTGATAGCTTTGTCCTGGACCACTGTGCCTTGCGCTACTTCCGCGCCTGTAATGTTAAAAACATAAACGGACGCAGGTACCGAGCGCCGCGTGCCCCCGCCGTCCATCTCATCCGAACTGGCTTGCTTAGTCGATGACTCGGATTCGTTCGAGACTCCAGAAGCGCTGAAGGGAGGATGGCGGCGAGACTTTGGGGGCCGGTTGATGGGCGGTGGTGCGGAGGGAAAAGGATCAGTGCACAAGGCCGCTGCAAGCTTGCAACGCATACCCGTGCGCTGCATGGCGTGGGCCAACAGGCTGGGTTCCTTTCGTCTTAGCCTCGAGGTAGCAAGCTCTCCAGGCGGCGCTTGAAGTGCTTTAGGCAGTGGTTGGATCAGCGCCCAAATGGATCTTGGTAATGGTTCCTGGCCCGGTGGCCGCGAGCCGAGAGGAGGAAACATTGCTGGGCGATGCCGACGGGTCGAACTAGGATAAGGTAGCATAGCGTCGCGCTGTTGCCGGGTAAGCGGCCGACTCCCTGGCTACACATGGCCCTCGAATGGCTGTGCTGGGGATCCAAGGAGGAATTGCTCCTGCAGATTTGTTGTTGTTAGTATCGCTGCTATGGCATCCTGCTGGTGAGACAAGAAAGCCGAAGTAGGATAGACAGGATGGGCAGGCACAGGTACGTTTATCAGAATCACACAACGATGACTATGATCAGTGTGTTCCGTCAACATCTCAAACAGGGAGCGGAAAGGTTGGATAGAAGAAGCCAATGGGGCAGAGCAGTGAAAGCTGTCGTGTTGTGGGGTGCGGGTGTGGGCGTGGATGTGGGAGGGATGGATGAACCAGACAGACGGGTCTTTTGGCACGGTAAAGACGGGCGGACGGGATGGGATGGAATGGACGGAGGACGGAGGACGGGAAAGTGTCATTGAGACGACATACGGCAGGAACAAAGGGGGTGCCGCTCCTGTTCCTGCCCATCATCCGGTTGACAATGGGACGAAGTCGCGGCCTTGAGATGAGACGGCGCATAAGATACTTTACTTTATTAAGGAGTGTGTACTTCGTAGAAACGAGACATTTTTTCAAAAATCCGGGGATTTAGTTCGTCCCATTAATTGCGCTCCACTGTGCAAAAATAACACGTCTATCCGTACGTACCTCGTGCCTACGTAGTTGTAGACAACCCTTTTTTCCAGAAGATTCAAGTCGAGGTTAATTTATCGGTGGTCGGTTCCTTGCCGTCATGGCAAGGTAGTCAATGCCACTAAAGCTTCAATCAGCAATTGCCTTTTAATTGGCAACTCGGGCCAGATTCTACTTCCTGGCCATTGAACTTCGTCGCATTCCCCTGTTTGAGAGCTTGCGAATGAAAAAAACTCGGGATGATCCTTGATGCGCCGTACTCTACGAAGTACCTAGGTCTGCGTACGGATAGAGCAAGCCCAAAGGTACTCCGTACAACAGTAAGTAGTGCAGGTCCGAGACAAGACATGCGAACGCAGTCGAGGGAAAAGCAAGCACAACAGCCACGGCTTGTTCCTTGGGCGATTGAGCGGCCTGTCCGGGCAAGGTCCTGATGCTCTTCACCGTCATTGTCCGTGCCTCACGCGCCGCAAGGGATGAGATTGAACCAATTGTGCTTGTTGCGCTTGAGCTCGACGCTCGGCATAGTCTGCTTTCTGAGTTCTTGCAGCAAGGTCACGCGCCTCAATTGATGGCCGCAATGACCAAAGTGACAAGAGAAACTTGCATCTAGAGTCAATTCAGCCAGATAGATACATACGTGGTCGTACAAGAAGGACTGCGTGAGATAAGAGGCATGAAAGCTGAGGCAAGGTACCTCACCTACTCGGGGGAGGTACCGTAAGGATATCATTAGGGGGGAAGCTCATCTTGGGAACCTTGCCTTGTGTCGAGTCTATCGGCCACTCTCTCTCTCTCTCTCTCTCTCTCTCTCCGTTTGTCTGTCTGTCTGTCGCTGGCCTACCGGAGAGTCCATTGGCAAATTAATAGACAGATTTCGACACGTTTCGAGGCAAGGTAGGCAAGCCGGTCGTCGAATAGGCTTGTTACCTTAAAGTAGCTGTCCCTTAATATGCGCATCTAAGACCATCAAGTTGTATTCAAGTACTTTCCGTCGAGCTTTACTGCTTAGGGCGAGGTGCGGTGCGTGCGAGGACATTGCCCAAAACAATGGAAGACCTATGGGGTACTTCGTACACCTGGGTGGAAGATGGAAATGCGGGGCCTGCCACTTGTGACTTGAGGTGAGGTAAGTTTGGAAGAAAGCAACGAGCAAACAACCAAATGGAAGGCAAGCACCGAGCACTAAGCACGCGGCAAGCGGCAAGAAGCAAGAAGCAAGAAGCAAGCAGGCACACACGACTTGAGCAACGGCAACGGCAGGAGCAACAGTAATAGCAACGAGAGGTACCTCCTTGACCTGCGTCGAACCCACCTCAAAGAAGGTACCTCACCTACCTTCTATTCAGGTATCTTTGCTTACCTTACCTTCCCAACGTGCCAATGTACCTGGGCTTCCCTACTCCGTACCTCAAGGTAACCTAAGGTAGGCACGCACAGCAGCAAGACTTTCCCATCTTCATCCTCCTCCCTCTTGGGACATGTTGGGATTCTTTCTCTCTCCTCCCCGTCCTCGGTGCTTCAGGAACCAGAAATCCTCTCGCTCTCCTTCCATCGCCAATCCAACCACAAATTGACCAAATCCCGTTTCTTCTCGACGAATCACACGACTTTCTGCCGATAGCCCGCCCTCTTCCGTCCCAACTACCGGCGCCTTATCGTTGTCACCGGCGGATTGTTCGGCCAACAAACCCCCATCTGCGGGCAGTCCCTCTGCAGTCTGCAGTCTGCAGTCGATATCTTGCCTCTCCTCTCCTCTCGTCGTCTCCTCAAAAGTCTCCACGCCCTCCTCTCGCCCGGGGTGCACAGCTGCGCCTGCAACTGCAAGAAAGAACCCATGGGACCTTGTCTCACCGAATACCACCACCATTCCCACCACCACCTCTTTGCTGGCTCGATATAGTCTCGTTCCATCTGCATGCCCTGCAGCACCGCCGTTGAATTCCTATTGGCAGCGGCACCTGGTCCAGCAGCATCATCCTCCTGTATCCTGCCAGGGCCTCGTCCTGCTCGGAATTGACGGGCGCCCAAAAAGATCACGCCAACCTACCTATCTATCTCTGTAAGTCGGTCACGTCTCTTTGGCTTCATTGCTTCTTCCTATTGTCTCCTTCGCGCCTCGCCGTCCACCTCGCCCATGTCTTCCCGTACACCCCCTTGCCTGGCTGGATTCCTGCTTCTGTGACAGTTGGTGCAAATATCACCTCATCTTCCCATCTTATACCCTCCACGCAAACCACGGCAACAACTGCAACAGACCGACGACCCCTGGCTCCCCATTGCATCCCAAATACTACTTTATCTCCTCCGCCACCTTTGGCCTCGTTCCCCCTCGACAACTTGCAGCATTGGGTCCATCTACGAGCAGCAAGCAAACAACTTTGCCTTCCTATCAGTTCGGCCTGCTCAGCAATTACCTAGACCTCTTCCATCCAATGCATCACCCTCATCAGCCCTTTTTCTTCCTCGCCTTGCCTTCCCCCCCCAGCCATCCAACTCTCTTTCAGACACCCCTCATCCATGCCATCTTCTCGCTCGCTTTTCCCAGCACATGGTCGAATCTTCCCTCCGCTGACATTGGGTATCTCGCTTGCCAACTAGCCCCGTCCCCAGTCTTCGCCATCTTCCCTGCCCTGATCCTCCGTGGTTCCACAGGCCCTGCCCGATTGCATGTTCTACCCTGGAGCTTGAAGCAGCCTTAATATGCACGCCGTAGCAGCACACTGGTCGACCAAGTCCATGGACAAGCAGCAACATCCTTGGTGATCGATTCCACCTCGCCGAATACATAATCAGCAATAATACTTAGCTCCCCGGCTCCATCTCCGTTCTGGGTCCCCAAGTATTTGCAACGAAGCGACGAAGAAAAAAAAGAAGTGGAAAGAGCAAGAGAAAGGAAAAAGCAATTAATACCATTCGAACCCACTCAAAGCGCCATCGCTGCATTTACCAACACCGCGTTCCCCCTTCGCCCCATTGCCGACTTTCCTCGCTTCTTGTTCTGCGCGCGCCGTTCTCGTCTCGCTCAGACATCCCCAACTTCCCTCCCCCGCGTCGGCAGTCTCCTCTTTACCGCCTCCGTCGCCGCCTCCCGACACCCGTTGCTGCCGCTTCTATTGGGACGAAACTCTCTTTTCATCCGTCACTTGTGCGACTTTTGACAGCCAGCACCACCAAACACCGTACGAAGCCGAACTGTCCCCGTCCTCGCCCCCGAGCTCGAACGGCCGCTCTTCGTTGCAACCCTGCATCATCCCACCTTGGACCTGTGGATCTACCATCGAAATCCCCCGCTCTCAACCTCTCATCCCGCCGCTGATCCATTTCTACGTCTCTTCCCGCTCGCTCGTCCGCTCGTCGCTCTGCCTTGCCCAGGGCTGGCGTAACAGTTGGCCACCACAGCTCCGTGTCGCATTGTCAAGCCCGCCGAAATTCCTGTTGGAGCAACTTTGCTGCGCACCAACTTTTCTCGCTGCACGAGCTGAAAGTCGTCCGCCTCCCCAACGACATCAAGCGTCATCACCGACCAACGGGCTTCGCACTCGACTTCCACCTGTGAGACCCGATTTGCGACTTGCTGAAATACCGCCCAGCGACTATTATGCTTGCTGTTGCGTGGTGGCACACACTTTATCCTCGGAAACAGAATCCAATCGGCCATCTCTCAATTTCGGAGGAGGCAGAGAGACGTGCTGGCTAGTTTACGGAAGAAAAGACGTGGTGGGACGCTAAGGTGCTGCTCTGGAAAGAACGACAAATTTCGGGGACGCACATAGAATCACCAAACTTCAGATGCGGGCGGACCCCAAATGAGGACAAACCATGGAATGAGCATGGCACCGCCGGGAATGGATGGACGAACCTACCACAACGGGGTTCACAACGTTACGCCGCGCCACGATTGGCAACAATCCCAGAACCAAAGCTTGTCCGCAGACTCGTCGTCTCGCGGCATGGAACGCGTCTCGATCTCCAACCTACGCACCTCATTCCGCTCCAACCATCCGTCGAACCCCACGATCCGCGCCGTGACACCCGAGTACCATCATCCGGACCTGTCGCCGACGCCGTCCTCGAACGCAGTCTTCGATCTGACCGGCCCTCCTCAGTTGCCCCGCGGCATCACGTCGAACTCCCCGCAAACCTCCCCGAGATCTATCCCGGGAGACTTCTCGAGACGACAAGGAATGGTTTTTAATGACACATACGGTGGAAGCTCCAACGAGAATAACTCAACTAGCCCGCCTCTGAGGCAACAAAGTAGCTTTCGGCCTAGGACACACACCATGGACGGCGCACTACGCCAGCAGTTCATGAATGCTGCCTCTCGAGAGGGCCGCCAACGTGTGGGGTCGTTTTCGTCTTCCGGATCTCAGCCCTTGTACGACGATGCTCGCTCTCCACCGCCTCCCATCGAGTCCCTAGGTTTCCCGTCTGTCATCCCCGCCCGGCATTCAGAGATTCCCCTAGGTGTCGCAAATAGCTTGAAAGAGAAAAAGTTGTCGACGAAACGTCTGATCAAGCGCCAGTCTTCCCGGCCAACTTCTCCGCCAACAAGCTCAACGCCTTCAGTTGATTCGCTACCTATTCCTGTTCCGACCGAAAATGCGAATAACATTCTGCTGATGATGAAAAATCTGTGTGGGCGCATGAGAGGTGAAATCGAATTCCAAGCTGACTCCCGGGGTCCATGGCAGCTTGGTATCGCATACGTGGACGAAGAGAAGGGAAGCTTGATGTTCGATTCGGGCCACGATGGGCCATTTCACATCCCCCTGATTTCCGACCTCTGCGGATGTCGAGTTGCGCCAGTCACACTAGCTGATGGGAAAAGATGTTTGGAGGTTTCGTGTCCCATCCAGCCCCCGTTGGATCTTCTATTACATCCGCTTTTAGCAGAAGAAACAGATCTCTGGCTTGCGGCTTTACTCTGCTGGCAACAACTTCGCCCTCCGAAAGTGAAACTTTCGAACGGCAACCGGAGTCCCGCGTCTACCGCCCTGCGTCCAGCAGTAAGAAGGCGTGGCTCTGAGAATGGAACAGCGAAAACTACGACTGCATTCATCAAGGTCGGCCAAGTGAGGCTTTGGGATAAGGGGTTGGCAAACTCGCCGAGGGCTATTGTGAAAAGACCTTCCACGAGAGATCTGAGGTCGCCAACTACTTCTTGGCGGGTTGTTTCCCTGCTTCTTCAAGAAAACGGAGAAGTCCGACTCACTACAAGAGATGGCGAGGCTGTCATCGCCGTGGTCGAACTATCTCAATTATCTCGATGCGCTATTCAACAACTGAACCGGTCAGTTTTGGACGAGGAGTACTGCATTGGCATCTTTCCACACTACTCTCCGATATCTACTCAGCTTTCCATATTCCGTCCCGTGTACATCGCCCTGGACAACCGCCTATTGTTTGAAGTGTGGTTTGTCCTTCTTCGAGCATTCGCCCTACCGGACATTTTCCGACTGGACTCGCCTTCAGCCGACGGAGCGTTGGAGGTCACGGACTTGGAGTCAGAGCTTTCCGGCGAGTTATTCAGAATCGAGAAGACAATCAGTTTGCGGGTGACGGAGGCAAAACTGAAACCCAAGACTTGCTCTCCCGACGTTGGCTTCATCGATCGACAGCCCAAGGACGCAGACCCTTTGATGGGTAACTACCTGACTGAAGTCATACTGGATGGCGAGGTCCGCGCTCGATCAACGATTAAGACTGGAACCAAGAACCCTTTTTGGCGGGAAGATTACCAGTTTTCGGACCTTCCCCCAACTATGCCGTTCCTTTCCATCATTCTGAAAAGAGTGGATGGGAACCTGGAAAGTTTCAGTCACCAGCTTCAGGCATCACTTGGTTTGCCCAAGACTGGAAATCTGACCGAGATTCTCTGTGGCTCTGTCGACATTCCCCTGGACCACGTTGAACCCGGCAAAGACTTTGAGCGGTGGCTTGAGATATATGACGAGCGACAGCAAGTCATGGGCACTATGCTTGTGAAGCTCCACCACGAGGAGCTCGTTGTTCTCCATTCCAAGGAATACCAGGCGCTGTCGACTTTGCTCCATAGCTTTCCTTCTGGTCTCACCGCTCAGATTGCCGATGCACTTCCTGGCAATCTGCGACGTCTGTCTGAAATTTTCTTGAACATCTTCCAAGTGTCTGGTCACGCCAACGAATGGCTGCAAACGTTGGTCGAAGATGAGATCGACGGCATTGGCGGCAGCCAAAACCAGATGAAGAAGTACCGGTTTAGCAGTCGCTTGAAGTCAAATGAGTCCATGGAGTCATCCAGTGACAGAGAGCAGATTCTTCGCGACATGGGTAAATCTCTCGCAGGAGAGGCCAATCTGTTGTTCCGAGGAAACACGCTGCTGACGCAAGCTCTCGAATTTCACATGAGACGGTCAGGAAAGGAGTATCTTGAGCAGATGTTGCAAGCCAAGATTTTCGAGATCAACGAGACCAATCCCAACTGCGAAGTCGACCCGAGCAAGCTGAAACCTGGCGAAAACATCCAGGAGCATTGGACAAGACTCATACAGCTGACAACTGAGGTTTGGCAATGCATTTGTAAGGAGCCCACGAAATGCCCACCGGAGCTTCGGTCAATCCTCAAATACGTACGAGCCGTGGCTGAAGACCGCTACGGCGACTGGCTGCGAACCGTCACTTACACAAGCGTGTCGGGCTTCTTGTTCCTCCGCTTCATTTGCCCGGCTATTTTGAGTCCCAAACTTTTTGGTCTATTGAGGGATCACCCTAGACCCCGCGCCCAGCGAACGCTCACATTGGTTGCCAAAGCACTCCAGGCCCTTGGAAACCTGTCTACGTTTGGCAAGAAGGAAGAATGGATGGAGCCGATGAACAAGTTCCTGGGCTCCAATCGTCAGTCAGTAAAGGACTACATTGACACGATCTGTGCCATTCCTGTTGAACGCAACAAGGTCGCCCTGGGTCCATCCTACTCGACCCCTATTGCGATTCTTGGACGGCTTTCGCCAACGGCACGAGAAGGATTCCCTGCACTGCCTCACTTGATTGACCACGCTCGTAATTTCGCAGCACTGGTCAGGATGTGGACCGAAGCTAACCCTATCGGAAACGGAGAGGTAGTCAAGCCTGTGGGCGGCGAAGATGACATCCTCATCTTCAATGAAATGTGCTTGGTGTTGCAGGAGCGTGCAGACCTATGCTATTCGAAAATGGACGGGTCTTCTCACGAGACAGCGTCCCTTCCTGCCTCCGATTTCGCCGACGCTATGGAGCACAATTCAGCCGTATTGGATTCCATGAGCCTTTCCACGCATCACAACCACTCAGCACCGACCTCGGCGAACACTTCTACAGTTTGGCTTGACCAAGACAATTACCAACCTCCAGGGTCGGCTGGTAGCGACGTGTTGATCGATGTGCCTACGCGAAGAAGCCGCGAGCATCGTCGTGGCCGAGATTTCAGCTCCCTGCGGCAAGCGTCTGGACACTCCGAGCACGCGTCCTCGCATTTAGCTACACTCAAACGGAATGGCAGGGCTACCCGTCACATTCTGTCTGGCATTATGAAGCCGTTCGCGCGGAGTGACTCGCCTGAGTCGTCTCCGTCAACGACACGTGGCAAGAATCTCGACCGATCATGGAACACTGGCTATTGATACGCCTTATTTCCCATTCATTTTTCTTTGTTCATCACTACTTCCACACATTCGCACATGAATCAAAACCAAACAAGTCAATGGCTGAACGACGAGCCAAAGTCTCTGCATTCTTGACGAGGAGGATATCTGGATACGCCCAGCTTGGAGCGTCAAGAGGGTGCGAGAGGGCAGCACCTCTTCTGCATTACTGTTACCTGCGCCGGAATTGAGGGCAGGCTTGGGTGGGCAAGGATCGACTGAACTACCTCTGGCGTTTCTCCATTTGCACAAGTTCATCAACGGAGCCTGCTTGGGAAGGTTCCTTTCTACATGTTCAGGCATTCGATTGGAGGGAGGGTCGGCCCTATTTGTTTTCTCTTTCTTCTTACACCCAACCCATCCCGTGTTCGTCACTTTTCTTCCTTGCCAACTTTTCTTGAGTTGGTTGTAGGGTAGGTAGCCGTCGCACAATGGGCCACGAATGAATATACCCAGACATATCATGACCAGCATTTACATGTCTTGCCTCATACTCATGCCGCGAGACTCATCACAGCATACATCCTTTCCCTTTTAGAACAAAACGAAACGAGCAATGTGTATAATATAATGATATTGAACTTTCAGTCGAGGTATTTACCTGTGAGTTTTCTTGTGTTTTCCAGTGCCTGCTTCTCTGTACGCCCCGATGTTCCAATGAATTAAGAGAATTCCCTTGTTTTTAGTAGCCCAGATCATAGAATCGTCATCCACCAGTCTTCGCTCCCTGCCTCATGCCATCAGGGTCACACTTCGTCTTGGCCGTGATTTCCGATACAGTTCCCGGCACGATACGTGACGTGTTGCGCCCTTTCTGAGTGCCTCCATCTATTGGAAGAACTTCTTGTAAGCCGCCTTCTCCTTGGCCGCACGAGCTGCCGCCTTCTGCTTGACGGCATTAAGCTCATGAAGAATGACCTTATCACCCGGCACGAGCTTGTGCGCCTCTTCAAGATCCTTGATGGCGTTCTCCTCGTCCTTGAGGCGAACGTTGGCGAAGCCGCGGCGGTAGAGGGCCTTGGCGCGGTCGGTGTCCTTGGTTCCGGCAACATCGAGAGCGTACGTAGCCGTCTTCGCGGCATCATCCCAGGCTTCGAGCTTGATATTGAGCAAAGCTGAGTTGTTGTTTAGGGTGAAGCGGAGAGCTTGGAGTTCCTCCTTGGTAGAAGCGGGCTCCTTCTCCAGGTCGGGCTCTTCGTTGATGTAGCGGAGACCCTTCTGGTACTTCTCGAGACCGAGGTTGAAGTCACCGGCCTTGAAAGCCTTGTTGCCGTAGTCCTTGCAGGCGGCAGCAATCTTGATGACTTCCTGTGCGTCAGGTGGGGCTGCACAGTCCTCAGGGAAGTCCTCGTAGGTGTCGCCCATGGCGTCCGGGGCCTTCACGTCGGCTGCGAGAGCGGCGTCTCCGGTCAATTCGCCGCAGTCTGCGATGATGGCGTCCTTGAGGGGCTTGTCGCCCGACTCGGTCTGGAGGTTCTCGATCTGGCGGACGACGGACTTGCCGTTCAGGACTTCGCCAAAAACGACATGCTTGTTGTCGAGATGAGGCGTCGGGACGGTGGTGAGGAAGAACTGAGAGCCGTTGGTGTCTGTTCGTAGTTTAATCAGCAAAAGCTTCCCAAATACCAGTCATCGTAGAGCACTTACTAGGTCCAGCATTGGCCATGGACAGGAGGAAGGGACGGTCGTGCTTCTTAGGGAAAGCCTCGTCCTCGAACTTTGCTCCGTAAATGGACTCGCCGCCAGTGCCATTGCCCTCGGTGAAGTCGCCGCCCTGGATCATGAACTGCTTGATAACGCGGTGGAAGATGGAGCCCTTGTAGTGCAAAGGCTTGCCGGACTTGCCCAGGCCCTTCTCACCGGTGCATAGGCAGCGGAAGTTCTCGGCCGTCTTGGGGACGAGGTCGTTGTAGAGCTCCATAGTAATGCGGCCAGTGGACTTACCGCCGACTGTAATATCGAAGAACACGCGCGAGCGCGCCGCCTTGTTCTCGGTCCCCTCGGCGGACATTGTGACTGCGTTCTGAAGTACGAACTGAACTCTCGGAGATTGATCAGGCTGGGACTCTGTACTCGATCCAGTAGTGCGGGGTAGATGTGGCTGCCGCAAACGAGATTCGCGAGACTGGTATGCTGTCGATGATCGGGTCGAAGCTAGCAGGAAGCTATGGTTTATTCACGTTGAACGTGAGAAGTGTTATTCATACGATTGAGTCGAGAAAAGTACCTAGGGTAAGGTAGTATAGCTTCGTCTGCAGAACGCTGGTGGTGGAGGTGAACGATAAATGCTTCAGCCCAGAGCTAACCTGGAAGGTGGGGGGAGGTACGATGGAACTTTCTGGTAGCTCGGACGCTTTGGCGCGGGGCAGTCGCACCACCCGCTGCATCTCACTGCCTGTATGCTTCACCGGGAAGGAGCAACAGCTTCGGAATAGGCCAATCAGAGGGTTCTATTCTACCGATGTCTCTTTCCTGCCCTGTTATCGACCTTTCTCTTAGGTGCCTAGTAAGTTGCGGCACCTCAAGTTAGGCCGAAGAGACAATGTGAGGCAAACGCAAACATAGAGCCGGAGTAAGATATGCAGCTGAAGCTGAAGCAGGCAGCCTTGGTGGAAATGAGTTGCAATGTCTCTGCCTGCATTCTGAGGTATCACCAAAATGGCAGGCCTTTCTATCGTAGTTGCATCTATGCGTAGAGCTCTATGTATAAGGCATGGAATTGCGACCATTCAAATCTTTCTTTGACCGCAAGGGACCCAAGAGACGATCCATTTCTGTTTGCCATCACTTCTTGAGACTTTCAACGAACGAATTCCGAGTTGCATTCATGGTGTATCTTGGTTCTGCTCAAGCCAACGCCCGACTTATGTCAGTGACACTGGATAGGCCATGGCACATGGCGTTTGGAAGACCTTGAAAATGATCATGGCTTAGGGGCCGACTCCGTGTTGAGCTCAAACGTGACCTCAAGACTCAAGTTAGTACGGAATCATCAGTTGTCAGTGGCTTCAAGTGTCACAAACCGGTCCATCATTGACAGAAGCCACGGCCATCATAGCCTGGAAGCGCCCATCCTTGACCTTTTCGGCCGCATAGCTATCCTGCAACTTTTGCAAGAAATGGTGGTAGAGCCTTTTAGCATCCTCGGCTCCTGCGCTGAGGCGGAAATCCGGCTTGTTCTTGACGATCTTGGCGAAAAGTGTGAATTGAGATACTGTGAGGGTGATCAGTTGTCTAAAGATGTCTGAATAAAGCTCGTCCGGAGCCCGGCACGGCAGCCTACCTACCACAGAGGATTTCTCCGTCAATGTCTGGGACTGCCTTCTTCCACTAAGACAAGATTAGATGCAAGTATTGGAACATTCGGCTTTTGGTCAAACGCACCCTTGCGCCGGCATCATCGTCCCACATTCTGAGCTTCAACACTTTGTTTGCTAGGTTCTCGGCATCTTTCTCTGTATCTTCGGGAGCCACAGCAGCAAGAACAAGAAGACCCTTTCCAATGGAAGAAATCACTTCGTTGTCCACGGTCACTGACCCAGACAGCACCCGCTGTACGATAGCTAGGAGGCATCAGCATCTCGCATCATCATGCAGTAGTTCACTCAGTGAGGAGACGGTGGTCTCACCTTTCATTTTGCACTGCACCACTGCATATGTCGGAGGCGATACAGCGGAGTAATCTGATACACAGGTACCAAGAGTAACAAGCAGTGACAAGCTCTTCAACCACGGTAGATAGACCGGAACGTGGATTCCTCCGGTACTATCACCCGGACGAGGATGAAGTCCAAACACAAATGGAGCAGCTAGAGACCACTGAGTGGTCAGTAGTCGTATCGCCGGCGGGAACCAACAGGCAAACGGGCGGCAAACCACACGGAAGCGGAGCAATCAACTGACCGGTACTTGGCCTGGCAAGTCGTAAGCGGCGTAGTCTATCAGCCCTCAGATATTGCTCAAAATTTCTTGGTTTCAGGGCAAAAACAATGCCTTTAGCACATTGCCTTCCCTGATTTGAATTACCGGTAATAATATCTTACAGAGTGAGCAGTCTTGCATCCCTGAACACGGCGGAAAAGCGCAGCTGGCAAGGCTGGGCTCAGCAGTGGTCCGTGTCAATCTCAGTGACGACGTCTAAGTAGCCTAAACTTGGCCCAGATAGACGGAAAGAAACGTGGTTTGGCCTTGCATGCTTCTATACTCCATATATGAGATATTCAATTGCGAAAGTGATATATATAAGTAAAAAGTCATCAATTACGTCACTTATGGACTCAAAATATCACATAGTTGTAGGTTTAGCCTTGAGGACACCTACTTGCAACCTCCCCATGCTTCACTCTCTATCGGACTTTAGGTACCCGAAACCTTCACCTCCCATACAGCATCCTCCACCCAGCTCTTTCTTCTGCATGCGCGCATCCTCAACCCATCAAACGCCTCACTCCCGGCAAGCAAACCTGTATTGCGCAACCAACGAACGCCGGTCAACACGGCGTAGCAGTCGTCACGCGAGCGACAAACCCCCCATTCATCCACCTACATCGCGCCTATCACTCCTTCGACGGCTGTCTGCGACACGAGCACAGCTCATTGAAAACCAGCGTCAATCACGACACACCTGACACAACCGACAAACCCAACCCGTCGGCATCGAGACACGTAATTCGCCTCAGCATTTTCATCTCTGCCACACACACAACCCGACAAGATGGCGGCACGCAAACTCCAACAAGAAGTCGACAAGTGCTTCAAAAAGGTGGCGGAAGGCGTTGCCGAATTTGAGGCCATCTACGAAAAGATTGAGCAGTCCAACAACATCTCCCAAAAAGAGAAGCTAGAGGACAACCTCAAGCGCGAAATTAAGAAGCTCCAGAGACTACGCGATCAGATCAAGACATGGGCAGCAAGCAACGACATCAAGGACAAGTCTCCTTTGCTGGAGCATCGAAGGTTGATCGAAACGGTTGGTCTACCGACTCCCTGGTCGCAGCTCTTCCCCGCGGTCCCACTAACCCCCCTTCGCAGCAAATGGAGAAGTTCAAGGCCGTAGAGAAGGCTATGAAGACCAAGGCATACTCCAAGGAAGGGCTAGCCTCTTCAGCCAAGCTCGATCCCCAAGAACAAGCCAAAGCCGAGGCAAGCGACTTCCTAAATAACATGGTTGACGAACTCGAGCAACAAATCGAAACCCTAGAAGCCGAGGCCGAAGCGATACAAGCGACGATGAAGAAGGGCAAGAGCCAAACTGCCAAGGCGGAACGAATGGCCGAGATCGAGCGCATCATCGAACGTCACAAGTGGCATCAGGGCAAACTGGAGCTTATTCGAAGATCTCTAGAGAACGGAGGAGTCGACACGGATCAGGTTACCGATCTGGAAGAGACGATTCGATATTACGTCTCAGATGGCATGAACGATGACTTTGTCGAGGACGAGGAGATGTACGAAGAGCTCGCTCTGGACGAGGACGAGGGCGCATTCGGCGTACCTGCAGATGGCGACAAGGGCTCATCGCAAGACGCTCAGTCAATAGCGGAGGAACCGACACCCGAGCCAGAAATCATCAAAGCTCCCCCGAAGCCCAAGGCGGTAGCAGAGGCATCTGCTTCAGGACGCAGATCGAGCTCACAGAACAAGTCCCCACTGCCTGCGCTAGCCACCTTACATATGCCGACTATCATTGGCAATGGCGCAGCAACTGGTCCTACGATGAAGCCAGCGGTGGCCCCTGCAAGACCTGCGGAAGGCCTCAAATACGCATCGGCGGCGGCGGCTGCGGCAGCGTCAGACAAGATTGGCATCTCTCCCTTGCCCCCTCCACCAGGCGCAGCACCGGTCACTGCCAATACCCCAGGGTCGCAGTCAAAAACCAGCGCAACAAGCTCACCTGCAACGACATCAGCACATCCTGTCGCCGCAAAGGAGCCCGAACCCAAGCAACCCCCAGCACCATCAACAACCGCAACCGAATCGCCAATCGCAAACCCAAGCGCCAGCGCAATCGCAAGCACAAGCACAACTCCAAGCGCTAAGGCCGCCTCGGCCCCTACCAAGGCAGAGAAGCGTGCGAAAAAGGAGCAGGCTGCGGCAAGTGCTTCAGGAGCAGCGAAAGGTAAGTCTGCCCACTATCGTGACCACTTTCATGGTTTACTAATGTTCTTTAGCATCTCAAACAAACGGTGCCACGAATGGAGTCAAACCTACAGCAGAGGAGGAGGAAGAGTCTGTATATCACCTCCCGTCATCTCTGCAAGACCTCGTCGAGTCCTTCGAAGCTTCCCGCAAGCGCCCGGCGCCTTTCAACTCGCCATCCACGCAACGCATGCTTCAGACGAGCCAGGCCACATGCCCCGACATTATGGATGCAGACGTACCCAGAACGTACCGTCCCGACTTGCGATTGACATCGACCGGCGTTGGCTTTCCTCAGGAGCCACTTCCTTTGTTTGATGACCCGCGGCTATACTCACGTATTGACCCGGATACACTCTTCTACGTCTTCTACTACAAGCAAGGCACGCCTCAGCAATATCTTGCGGCCAAAGCCTTGAAAGACCAGAGCTGGCGGTTCCACAAGCAATATCAAACCTGGTTTCAGCGTCACGAAGAGCCAAAGAACATCACCGAGGAATTCGAGCAGGGCACATACCGCTTTTTCGACTACGAAAGCACATGGTGAGTCATTTTACTTCAAGACGATAGACTGAGGTAATTAAGCTAACTCGACGGGCAGGATGAACCGCAGAAAGGCGGACTTCAAGTTCGCGTACAAATTCCTTGAGGACGATGTATGAATAGGCAGCAAGGTTCACAGGGTTTCATGCCAGGCGTACGCCTCGGATTGGGATGGGGGCCTCGAACCATTGGTATCGGGAGGAACGGCGTTGCCTCTTTTTGCGGAAACATACAGCCAAGGTCTATCTGGCTCATCTTTGTTGAAGTACACTGACTATTGACTGGCTATGGAAAAGGGGAGGCTACAGGCTGCCTCAGTTCGGCTTTTGCACATGAAGACATAAGAACCCATTCGCAACGCGCGTGACGTTTAATTGAGCACTTTCGGCATCGCCAAGGCCGTCTGCCCTGTCCTGATATCAGGGACCCTGTCCTCGGCGGTCAGCATGAAGGCAAAATAAGATCCCGGTGGGTGCAGCGTGTTCTGGCCCTGTCGGGACAGGCCTGTTTCCGCAAGGTACTCCATACAAATACCTTTCTGGACACTATGGGAGCTGGGGCAGGAGTCAATGACGGCGTGCATCCCGGCGCCCGGTTCCAGGCTCGGCCGAAATAAGTTGAGAAGACCAACCTACAGGTTCCATGGAAGCTCCGGCCACCCCGACAGTTGCCCCGTGTGGATCCGTCTCTGCCTCTGCGTGACACAAAACATAGCCGCCTGCGGGTGGGTTGGCGAATGCCTTATCCCCCGCGATTCTCCAAGCCTTGGACGTACCTACTGATTAGCCAGGACGAATTGGGTTATGGATGCGCCGGTGGATGTTCCGAATGGCCATATCAACGCCAGGGCTGAGGCGACAATGACGAAGCTTGGGATTATGGAGGGTTGCAATCAAGCTTTCCTGCCAGCGCAAACCATTGACATTCTGCAATAAATCACTCCGCCACTTCTCTTATCACAAGCCGGGCGAAAATGGCCAGTAGGTATGAGGCACGTCTGTATGAAGCGAAATGACTGGACGGGCCAGGGCCAGTAAGGGTAGCCGGGTCTTGAAGCGTCCCGGTCGACACATGTAGGTGCAGGGGAGAGAAGAGCAACGTAAGAGAGTCGACGGCGGCAAAGCGGCAGTCTCTCAACTGCGTGCTTACCTACCTAGTTGCTGAGGTAGTGATGATTCGCCAGGTGTAAAGGAACATCCAATGTTGACATGGTATCTCAAGTCTACCTTACTCCTTAGGAGGTGGGTACTCCGTAGACCGTAGGTATTAAGGTAGTGTAGAGCGTCACAGCGTCGTGAGAAGTTGAGAAGGTAAGGTTAAGGTAGGTAGGTGGTGGGGCAGGCGGCAGGTCCAATGGAGGGTCATGATGCACCACCACCTTCCGACATTGACAGGGCCTTGCAGGCTTGCACGTTGACGCAGCACAAGCGATGGAAGGCTTCTAGAAGGTTGCCGGGGCCCACCTTTCCTTCCCCCCGGGCACATCGCGGACCTGCCAACTTGCCTCCTTCCCAACTAGCAACCGTGAACCCAGTCGAATGTCAAGGGTAGGACCCAGCAAGTGTCCGTTGGCAGAGCGGTTTATTCAGATCACCACCTTTTCCTCGACTCCTCAAGCTCATTTCTGGCCATCCACGAGGCTCGAACACCTCTCCAAGTGACTCCAACTCGTTGGAACGAATCCACATCTCGACTTGCTCAACCCTCTTCCAACAGTATCGCCTACCAGGCCTTCGTGTTTTCTGTCGCCAGAAAATGGCTCGTCCGAGCAGAGGGGCCCATCAGAATGGATCCTGCTACTACGAATTGCTACGTACGGGTATTCGACATGCGCCTTTTTGAAGATCCAACAGACTTTGAGTTACACCAGCATGACGAAAAAGGCACCTTTCCGTATCGACGTATCCCCTCTGACTTGCTTCACCGAACCAAACCTGCATCGACCGTCAGCCGGA